AAGATAGTTAGACAAGCTAGCTACTCTAACATGATTGATAGCCTGAAATGGCTTATTGGTAGCTAGTTATGAGGTTGGGAGATTGGGAGCCTATCTGGGCTAGCTAAAGCCAACTTCATAAAATTGCTAGGTGGCTAGTAGTATTACAAAGAAACAACAACAACAAATTAAACACAAAAACAAAAAATAGATTATTGATTTTTTTTTTTTTGAAACTGGACAAATCTGAGGGGGCATGTGCCCCTTTGTCCCTTATGGGCATGAAGCTTCTGAACCTATCTGTAGCCACAGGTTAGTCACATTTGCATACAATCAGGGGTGAAAGTATAATTAATTTCTTCCCGGTATAGGACCTCCTATATTTTGTATGGGCCTAATCATAGAATTGCATATATAATCTCTATTGATTCAATAGGATCTCTGTGGGCCTAGTCATAATGATTTGTCATTTAACTTTTAAAATGTATTACCTTTTATTGTGGCATAAACACAACCAGTCATGATGTTTTCATCTGATTGTCAAACAATCACTTCAAAGGGCTCCTTTACTAGGCTTCCTGCACATTTTCATCCAGTCACAACATATTTCCAGCCTCCAAACAGTTGTGAATGGAAAGAGACAGCTCTTACACAAAACACCAAAATGTGTAATGACATTTGGCGATTGTCATTAGGCCAGAATGTAAATTATGTGTCCACTGCTGTCCGCATGCATGTCGTAGTCGGCCACTCATCTCTGCCTTGGCAAAATGTCAGTGTTCTTGTCGAACCACAAAGCATTTTTGAGCTTAGGCTATACCACCCGTTTTCGAGTCTATTCACTCATTTTTCATGCCTCTGACATGCGGTAATGATCAAAAGTGGTGTAAAAGCCTACAGTTTTCTTGACATTTTGTTTTAATTATTGTGATATGCTCATGTTTTACCGGTATACCCCCACAATCTATTTTGCTGGGACGTGGTACCGGACCGTTTCACCCCTGCATGCAATGCAACCTCTTGCGCGGGAGCGGTGTTGAGGTTGGAACCTACTTGTTGCACAGCACAATTAATTACTTTCTGGTTAGTGCAATCCGGGATCCTTGAGACTTCCTTACCCTTAAAAAACAAACGTTAGGAAGCGTTTGGTACAAACATTCCTCAGGTGATTTGAAAAGTGGTGCCCATTTCATACTTAACCAGGAAGCAAGTTATCGTGAAAATAAAAAATGTATGCCATAGTAGCTGGTATTTGACCATAAAAACTGTTATTGGACAGAAACAAGCATGAAATGTGGTACAAACATTCCTCAGAGGATATGAAAACATCCTAAAAGGGGTGCTTATTTCAAAATTAACCAGGAAGTGGAATAAAAAATGTCTGCCAATGGTGATTTAAAACAGCTTATTAAGTGACATTTCAAAAGAATACATTAAATTAAATAATACATCAAATATATTCCTTAAAGCCAAGCTCAGTAAGTGTCAGTTCGAAATCTGCTACGTCCGTTTGTTTATATTCATTATTTGTTATGTTAGGGCGACAAAGCAAATCAAAGGAATGTGTTTGCGTCAAATGTACACAGCAAGGCTATCGGAATCATTGTTTTTTTTTAGACAAGACAGCTCCCTGGTACAATGCAGCAACTGTCTTAGTCGCGATCTGATCAAATGGCAGACAAACGCCCAGCTACCCAAGATTTTGAGTGTTACTCTGACATGCACTGTCAACTGTGGGACCTTATATAGACAGGTGTATGGCTTTCCAAATCATGTCCAATCTATTGAATTTACCACAGGTGAACTCCAATCAAGTTTTAGAAACATCTCAATTATGATCAAGGATGATCAATGGAATTGAGGATGAGCTCAATTTCGAGTCTCATAGCAAAGGGTCTGAATACTTATGTAAATAAGGAATTTCTGTTTTTTTTGCAACAATTTCTAAAAACCTGTTTTCGCTTTGTCATTATGGGGTATTGTGTGTAGATTAATGATGATAACATTTAATTTAATGCATTTTATAATAAGGCTGTAACGTAACAACGTGGAAAAAGTCAAGGTGTCTCAATACTTTCCTAATGCACTGTACATTCTGTTGGCCTATTATACAAGGCAGGATACTGATTACTGTCATTCTTTTTCACATAAGTATGAACCAAATTAGTATTGGTGACACAGACACTGCCAGTATCATCAGCATGGATGAGAATCAGTACAACAGTCTCACCAACAGTGTGCAAGTTCATTTAATTTTGTAGCTTTTTGTTGTAACTTTTTCGATACTTCGAATGGTCTCCTACATCTACAGTCTTTCAATCTGTAATAAATGGTCCAAAGAGAGGACAGGCTTGTTTTAATTGCTATTAGAACTAAATGGGGAAAAAATGGGGGAAAAAATAATAAGAAAAAAATGTATGCACTAAGTCGCTCTGGATAAGAGCGTCTGCTAAATGACTAAAATGTAAAATGTAATGATTATCAACTCATGCACCCGTTCCATTATTCTGCTATTTCTTGTAGTATTGATTGGGTAGAGGACACCAGGAAGCCATCAGAAGACAAAATGGAAGAGGATGTGTCATCAGATGACAGTTGGACACCATCGGAAGAGGATGAGCAAGTGACATCAGAGGAGGACAGCTCTGATGACTACCTACCTCCTTTTTCTGTGAGGTAGGCCTGAAAACCATTGTTTGTTTTTTGAACATTACAGACATACTGATTGAGTAAATGCTTTCCTTATTAAAATGTACTTATGAGCTTAGTTCAAATGTCGTACCCTTTCAGAACCCAAAATATAAGCTTGTTTTACTCCAATGTTTGTAAAACTGACAGTGCCTTAGCCTCGATGAGTCTGTGCTTGATCATCATCATCTCTCTGAAGACACAGGATTTGTCACAAATTCCCGACAAGTATCAGGTCCTGTGCGAAGATGACATTGTTGGACAACATGCATCTATTGCATATGACCTGAACTTGAGGGAATTGGTGACATTTCTCAGACTCCCAATTGCTAATTGTCAGAAGAGGGCTTGTCAAGCCACAGCACCCTTTGAAGTGAGAGTTAGATCAAGGGGCACAGCAACTGTGATAGAACGGGTGAGAATTCCTTTCTTTGGCAGTGACATGTTCACTAACAATGCCTCAAATATATATATATATTTTCTATTTCTGTTTCAGATATGTTCCAATGGTCACACAGTATGGAAGTGGAACTAACAGCCAACGTTTAAGTTGGGGATGCAGGTTGGGGATTTCATGCTGGCGTCTAACATCCTGCTCTCTGGGAACAACTATGGAAAGATCTCCTTATTCTTCAAATTCATGAACATGGGGGTTGTTTCCAGAGACTCCTTCTTCAAGATACAGCAGCTGTAGTGCGTTGGGGCCATCAAGGAGTTCTGGCAGCACAAACATAATGAAACCATCGACCGACTGAAAACGAAAGATGCTGTTGTCATACTTGTTAAGTTATCAATATCGTAAGGTTGGGAAATTAGAAACATAGAAACTATATTAAGAGGAAAGATGTTTGTAAATGTATGTATAAAGTCGGTAAAATCTTCAAAAGTTCACGATTTTCTCAATTGTTTGTGATACAGATGTAAAAAGCATATCCGACGTCCTTCCTGCCAATGAACTTTCTATGTGAGAATTGCCAGAACAATCTGGGATACCCCAAAAAATTTCGGGCCTTCCGGTTGTGAAATCACCCTTATTACATAGAATAGACATTTAAAAGTCTTATTTGGTGTTGCAGCTGATGGTCGTATGGACAGTCCTGGACATTGTGCCCAGTACTGTTCTTATGCAGCAATGGAGAATGAGACCAAGGAAATCCTCTCCATCGTGACCATCGACAAAATGGAAACCCACCGGAGCTCCTGCAGAATGGAGAAAGAGGGCTTCATAAGGACGATGGACAAGCTGGTGACCCAAGTCCCACTGACTGAAGTCTGTACTGATGCCCACACCCACATTTCTGCCCTAACGAGTAAGTTCTTTATATTTTGAATTTAACAATACGCAAACACATCTAGACAACAGACAATACATGGCTCCAATAATATCAACTCATAGTAATTCAACAATAGTAATTTCATCTCTCAATGGAATTCAAATTGTGTAATTGCACAGACTTGAATTCTCAAACATCACACACAGTGATGTGCATGTTTCACTGTTGTAGAACATGTGGAGAGACATCCTGCACCATGTTGTAGGGCAACACGAATGGGCCTTCGGCAGCTGTCAGCATGACCAAAATCATGGATGGAGAGAGATTCAGCAGCCCAGAAGACTGACTGAAATTGTGCTCAACAAGAGGTAGCTTAAAGATATCCCCAAATACCTGGCTTTTAGGGACTGTGAATCATATGTGTCATATATTTTTATATGTTTGATGAGATGACACACATACAGTAGGGTTAATTGTGATGCTCAGGTCAACTGCATAGCTGGAGGCATTCCAGAATGACATTGTGATGTATGCCAGCAAGAGGTTCGCCTTCACACCACCCATATATGAGGCCAGGACACTCCTGGACACTCCTGGCAGCATTGGACTACACTCAACATCAAGAGAGGCCTGCTCTGAGGAACAAAGCTGGCAACAAGATGTGAGTGATTCCTGTTTACCTGCCGTTCTGTTCTGCACATGCGGACTATTATTTACATCTCCGGTCAGAACCAGAACCTGCCCATTTTTACATTTTAGTCATTTAGCAGACGCTCTTATCCAGAGCGAATTACAGTTAGTGAGTGCATACATTTTCATACTGCCCGAACTTGTTCAGTGCAGCAGCACATTTTACTGCCTATTGGTTATATCTTGATATAGTAATACTAATGACTCTTTCTTTACTGTTCTGTGTTCTATACCCTCAGCTACTACAGACACTTTTTTTTAAAGTCCAAAAGATGGACAGTGCTTGCGAAGAAGACCCCAAAACCCTACAGTTACATCCCTGAGCTGCAAGCAGGTGTGGTCAAATAGAGGTTGGCATCCAACGTAGGAATGCCAAGGATCATCCCTCATGTAGCCAGTGACCCAAGGAATCTTGGCCTTCTCCCTGATATTCCACCACCAGCCATCCAGGAGCTGGTTCAGGCACATGTCAGCCGAGGGCTAGGTATGAGTGATAAGATATATATTTAAAAAAAAGTTTTACCTCTCCCCCTGTTCCCTCCCCTGGCCCTGTTTGATCCTCTTGCCCTGCTCTCTACAGTACATGGGCCCTGCTCTCTACATCGGCCCCTGTCTCTACACTGGCCCTCAGCAATCCTCCACGGACCCTTGGACCTCTGCCCCTGGCTCTCCCTCTCTGTGTAGGCCTATGTGTGCCATGTTCAGGCAGCAGATTCTTTTAAAAGCAATCATTCAAGAATCAGGATCATCTTTATCCGCCAAGTACATTTACCTGTACCAGAAATTTGACCTGGTGAAATGTTGCTGCCAGCAATTGACAGAAAATATGCTCTATGTAAGAATAGCAATTAGTAGATGGTAATATAATTTGCTGTAAATATTTCATTGAGGTATGACTGATAGCTAGCTAGCTAACTTAGCTACAACTATTGATACATTCATATGGTCATTAGATATTAGCTGTATTACCTCGATGTGATCTGACATCCCTGATAACGTTAGCGCTTTGGATTTTTATGTTGTGGAAGGAAGACAAACGTGACTAATTAGCTAACACAAATATACTGAAAATGTTTTGCTAATACATTAAATGAAAACAAGCATTTTTGATTATGACGAGCCTAAAGTTAGCTAACTGTTAGTTTGCTAAAACTTAGCTGCCCAGTCTAGCCAACAGGTAGAACACAGCTGAACACTACAGAACATGCATAACAGGTTGGCAGGAACTAGCTATTTTCCAGAACAGAACAAAGTGTACAATATAATGGATGATGGCTAATTACATAAAATAATTGAATGTTTTATTCCAAAAAGTACTCTTACCAGAATCTTTGGTTATAGTCTGACTGGATTGTCTGTAAGGCTAAACGGCACTATGGCAGAGTGACAGTTGAGTTGTGAACATCACTCACCGTGTGAGTGAGATTACAGCTTGAATACACTCGAGCCCAACGTCATCACGTCGCCTTGCTGAGAAATCAGCTGCAAAATGTAAACAAACCTGAAGGGGGGAAAATTGAAAAAAGTTCCGGTATTTCCAGTGCTGTGGCGTCAAAGCATTGAATAAGTAAAATTAAGACTTAATATCTCTTATTTGAGAGATATAAACCAAAATTGATAATGCATTATTTTATTTTGCACTTACTGAGTCTGGCTTTAAGATCTGATTAGTAAAGAAAATACAAGTTTTAGGGTCCTGGTTCACATGTGACAGCACAGTGGCATAATGCAGTACATGACAATCTAGCATCCTGGTATCGACAGGTCCGAGAACAGAGGGGCTCACTTTTGCAGCCACACCTCAGGAGTTCTCTTCAAGCTTTATCAGCCACTCGTAAGAGTGTCCACAAAGGGGTCCAGGAATCAACTGTTTTAGCTCATCCAAGTCTTTCTGGTGAAGGCCCCGATTGGATGGTTATCAGACGTGTTGACCAAATGCTTGTTTGGTACACTGCTCGGTTTGAATGTAGCAGCAGTGCAGCCTGTGTTGGGGGGATGTTCTCCATCGAGAACTACCTCATGGAGAAGAGATCCTTCCTCAGATCATTGACACAATCTAGGCTGGTTGCCTTGTCATAGAGAACACAGGTGTATCTCTCAATCAATGTGAAAGTGGACGAGTTCAGATCAAGGGGTTGAAATGGTTCAGCTGCCATGGAAACGAAGGCATCAGTCACCTTTGGAAATGACTTCCATGCACTCCAATATGTATTTTTGCCCTTTCCATTAAACTATGAAGTTGTATCACAACCTGTGAATGCGTGGAAGCCTGACAAAGCCAAGCTCTTGTGAATTCCAAGCTTCTCGTAGATGTTGTTGATGCAAATCTCCTGGTAGTTTTTACCCATACCAAAAGCAATCCACAGCTTTATGGTTGAATAATCCTTGATAAAATGGAAGAACAGCCAGCAAGGAGGACAATGATGTCTGTATCCACTGTAATTGTCATGAACCCTGCGTCCTGAGTCTGTTCCTGCCTGTGTTGCTGTTTTTCTGCTCTGAATCTCCTGTTTCCCGAAGGTTCCTGAACGCACCCTGTCCGGTTGCCGGGCGACGTTGCTAGGCGGGTGATCTCTCGATTACCCGCACCTGCTTCTCATCAGCTTCGGCACACCTGGTCCTGATCATCACCCCTTCATAAGCTCTGACCTGACATCCATTCCCTGCCGGATCGTTAGCCATTAACAGTATGTTTTGCCAGCGTATCAGCCTCTGAGTACTAGCGTTAGTTTTGTTGTTTTTTTGCACCTTGTTGACCTGCCTTGTACTTACCTCGGTTTTTTCTGTCTACAGTCATTCTCCCGGAACCTTCACCCAACCCCTGCCGTGCCATCAGTTAATCTGCCACTTCACCACCACCTACTCATCTCTGCCACCCGCTCCGTCTCCTGGATTATTCTGCATCTTTTGAATCTGTAAATAAACACTCACATTCGTTCAACTCACCTTGTCCTGGTCTGCTTCTGGGTTCGGTCTTAGAGAACCGTGACAGTAATAGTTTGTGCACCCGGTTGAAGGGCATCTTCAAGATGAAGGCATACTCTTGTGTCTGCCTCTTCTTGGTCACATTCCGACATTGATGGCAGAGAGCCCTTTGAGACCACATACTCATCAATTTTAGCATAGATCTTTTCCATCTTCAGATTCATTGGCACACACCTTCTGTGTCAACATTTTGAAAAGCTCCTGTTTGTTATTAGTAGGGGTGTAACGATTCGTTTTAACAACGATTCGATTTGTATCACGATTCGTGGTTGTCGATACGATTCAAGGACGATATTGGTTCATTTAGAACGATCCGAAACGATTCAGTGACCTTTTAGCCAAAAATTCAACCAGTGTGACTGAAATAAATACCTGGATACTGGACAGTGCAGGTGAAGTTTCCTAGATTCCTGTTTCTTGTAAGGACCGCAATGGTGGCTTGATAATTTCTCGCTCGTCGGCTTCTCCTCTGTCGTCCGCCATGCTATGTTTTGTTGTCTTTGCGCCTTTGCTCTGCTGCTGGCGCGGGGCGATGACGTCACGGATAGGCAGACTGAATCGAGTAATGTTTAAAGCCTTTATCATTAAAAGTGCTAAGAAAAAACATCCATATAAAGTCTGACGTGCTTAAATCCAATGGGTTATTTCCTAGTATCGATACAATCGATTTATTACATTTTAAAACGATGTTAGATTGATATATGTTGTCCAAAAGGCCAACTCGCCGAGCACAGATCGATGTAGTTGATTCATAGGAATATAAATCGATACATCGATGTAGTAGATGGATCGTTACACCCCTAGTTATTAGGATTTCTGTGAAAGTCAGAGAACATACATGGAAGTTTGGTTGTCTCCCCAACTTTCTTTCGGATGCCTTTTTCTTGCTTCTCTCTCATTTAATCTTTTAGACTATCTTCTTTGTATGTGTCCCACACAATATCGATTCTATTGCAGTTTTTCAACTGGTGCTCTACCCAAGGCACTACTGCCATATTCGGCAAATGTGGAAATTTGTGGGTAGGCAAGGAATGGACCATGACAGCTACATCAATGATTTTGGCATCAAAAGAAGAGGGCACTGGTGGGTAGGAATCTACAGCTATCAGGCCTAGTAGATCAGATTTTAGGGTTGGCAGGTTAAGCATTCCGGACATGGGTTATTCTCATGAGTGAAAAACTCGTCCAGGTTTCCATCTCGGAATTTGATCGCAATGTAAAGTCGGCTGAAAAGTGTACAATAAATGTTTTATGCTGATAGTTGCCTTTTCTCTTTTGTGACTGGCTTTCCTTTAGCATTTTTAAACAGTGGTACATTATTCCTCCTAATGCTCTGATGGATGGATGTGTTCCTATCCACAAGGACTTCCTTGGTACCATGCCCCAATTTTTGGGCACCCCTTTTCATATAAATTAATTCTTCCCAAAGAGCATCTCTGTCACGTCTACTCCCGCTCCTCCTCTCCGGCACTCGACGTTGCCAGTTTACTTATTATTACACACACCTTCCACCATCGTTACGCGCACCTTTGCCTCATTATGAGACTCACCTGGACTCCATCACTTCACTGATTACCTCCCCTATATCTATCACTTCCTTTGGTTCATTCCCCAGGCAGTATTAGTTATGGTCCTCTGTAGCTCAGCTGGTAGAGCACGGCGCTTGTAACGCCAAGGTAGTGGGTTCGATCCCCGGGACCACCCATACACAAAAATGTATGCACGCATGACTGTAAGACGCTTTGGATAAAAGCGTCTGCTAAATGGCATATTATTATTATTTATTATGTTTTTCATGTCCAGATGCTACTCTTGTTTTGTATTGTGTATTGTATTATTAATACCCCTGTACTTGCTTCTCTACTCCCGGCGTCTGCGTTACAGAATACTGCCTCACAAATGGAAGCAACAGGGATGATGTCGGGTCCAAATGCCACAGCCGAAGCAACCGGCCATGCCTTGGCAGCAGATGCAACCACCAACCATGCCTCAGCTGGCTGGACAGGTTCCCAAGCCTCAGCTGGCTTGACAGGTTCCCAAGCCTCAGCTGGCTCGACAGGTTCCCATGCCTCAGCTGGCTCGACAGGTTCCCTTGCTGGCTCGACAGGTTCCCATGTCTCAGCAGAAGCCCCCGCGCCTCAGCAGGCTCGACAGGCTCCCGCGCCTCAGCAGGCTAGACATGCTCCCGCGCCTCAGCAGGCTAGACATGCTCCCGCGCCTCAGCTGGCTCGACAGGTTCCCGCGCCTCAGCTGGCTCGACAGGTTCCCGCGCCTCAGCAGAAGTGACCAGCCAGCTCCTGGTCCTCGGGACCTTTCCTCTTGTCAGCGTCGTCCTGCGGCTTGAGCCGCGCTCCCCCCAGGGTTTTTATTTATTTTAACTATTTTTTACATTGTAGAATAATAGTGAAGACATCAAAACTATGAAATAACACATATGGAATCATGTAGTAACCAAAAAAGTGTTAAACAAATCAAATCAAAATATATTTTATATTTGAGATTATTCAAAAAGCCACCCTTTGCCTTGATGACATCTTTGCACACTCTTGGCATTCTTTCAACCAGCTTCATGAGGTAGTCACCTGGAATGCATTTCAATTAACAGGTGTGCCTTCTTAAAAGTTATTTGTGGAATTTCTTTCCATCTTAATGCGTTTGAGCCAATCAGTTGTGTTGTGACAAGGTAGCGGGGGTATACAGAAGATAGCCTATTTGGTAAAAGACCAAGTATTATGGCAAGAACATCTCAAATAAGCAAAGCGAAACAACGGTCCATCATTACTTTAAGACATGAAGGTCAGTCAATCCCAAACATTTCAAGAACTTTGAAAGTTTCTTCAAGTGCAGTCGCAAAAACCATCAAGCGCTATGATGAAACTGGCTCTCATGAGGACCGCCACAGGAATGGAAGACCCAGAGTTACCTCTGCTGCAGAGGATAAGTTCATTAGAGTTACCAGCCTCAGAAATTGCAGCCCAAAAAAATGCTTCACAGAGTTCAAGTAACAGACACATCTCAACATCAACTGTTCAGAGGAGACTGTGTGAATCAGGACTTCATGGTCGAATTGCTACAAAGAAACCACTACTAAAGGACACCAATAATAAGAAGAGACTTGCTTGGGCCAAGAAACACAAGCAATGGACATTAGACCGATGGAAATTTGTCCTTTGGTCTGGAGTCCAAATTTGAGATTTTTGGTTCCAACCACCGTGGCTTTGTGAGACGCGGTGTGGGTGAACGTATGATCTCTGCATGTGTATTTCCCACCGTGAAGCATGAAGGAGGAGGTGTTATGGTGTGGGGGTGCTTTGCAGGTGACACTGTCTGTGATTTATTTAGAATTCAAGGCACACTTAACCAGCATGGCTACCATCGCATTCTGCAGTGATACGCCATCTGGTTTGGGCTTAGTGGGACTATCATTTGTTTTTCAATAGGACAATGACCCAGCAAACCTCCAGGCTGTTTAAGGGCTATTTTACCAAGAAGGAGAGTGATGGAGTGCTGCATCAGATGACCTAGCCTCCACAATCCCCCGATCTCAACCCAATTGAGATGGTTTGGGATGAGTTGGACCGCAGAGTGAAGGAAAAGCAGCCAACAAGTGCTCAGCACATGTGGGAACTCTTCAAGACTGTTGGAAAAGCATTACAGGTGAAGCTGGTTGAGAGAATGCCAAGAGTGTGCAAAGCTGTCATCAAGGCAAAGGGTGGCTATTTGAAGAATCTCAAATATAAAATATATTTTGATTTGTTTAACACGTTTTTGGTTACTACATGATTCCATATGTGTTATTTCATAGTTTTGATGTCTTCACTATTATTCTACAATGTAGAAAATAGTAAGAATAAAGAAAAACCCTTGAATGAGTAGGTGTGTCCAATCTTTTGACTGGTACTGTATATAAAGTGTAATATTGGGATGCAAACTCAAAGTTGAATATATTTCAACTCTATATCTGACATGGTACAGGTGTCTTTTTTTAAAGCGTGTGAGGTGTATACTTTTGTTTCAAAGTATGTTTGTTTATGAATACCAAGAAACACTCTGTGTGACCCTGATTCAGCCCACTGCAATAAAAGGTTATTAAAAAATACTTAGTAGTCGCCAAAGTTCCTTTGTCTTTAACCCCTACCCTAACCCTTACCTAAACCTAACGTTAAACCTTAACCCTAACCTTAACCACAGAGTTTCTAAACGCATAGGCCCAACATCTTGAGACTTCTCAGAACGCTTGCGAAGCAGACTTGGCAGACCAGTCAATATTCCCTAAAAACACTCCACTTTGATACAGCTAAGACTGGAAGTGACTTTTTCGTACCAGAATAGGAGAACTTACGCAACAGATTGTTCACTTTTCTCATTGAGCAGTGGATAATTAACGTAGCAGGTTAGGATATAAGGTTAATGTTAGGAAAAGGGGTAGGGTTAGCGAAAATGCTCTCCTAATCTGCTACTAAAAGTAACTTCCGGTAGTACAGTGCCTTGCAAAAGTATTCATCCCCCTTGGCGTTTTCCTATTTTGTTGCATTACAACCTGTAATTTAAATTGATTTTTATTTGGATTTCATGTAATGGACATACACAAAATATTCCAAATTGGTGAAGGGAAATGAAAATAATAACTTGTTTCAAAGAATTCTAAAATAGAAATAACGGAAAAGTGGTGCGTGCATATGTATTCACCCCCTTTGCTATGAAGCCCCTAAATAAGATCTGGTGCAACCAATTACCTTCAGAAGTCACATAATTCGTTAAATAAAGTCCACCTGTGTGCAATCTAAGTGTCAAATGATCTGTCACATGATCTCAATATATATACACCTGTTCTGAAAGGCCCCAGAGTCTGCAACACCACTAAGCAAGGGGCACCACCAAGCAAGCGGCACCATGAAGACCAAGGAGCTCTCCAAACAGGTCAGGGACAAAGTTGTGGAGAAGTACAGATCAGGGTTGGGTTATAAAAAAATATCAGAAACTTCGAACATCCCACGGAGCACCATTAAATCCATTATAAAAAAATGGAAAGAATATGGCACCACAACAAACTTGCCAAGAGAGGGCCACCCACCAGAAATCACGGACCAGGCAAGGAGGGCATTAATCAGAGAGGCAACAAAGAGACCAAAGATAACCCTGAAGGAGCTGCAAAGCTCCACAGCGGAGATTGGAGTATCTGTTCATAGGACCACTTTAAGCCGTACACTCCACAGAGTTGGTGTTCACCAAAAGGCATGTGGGAGACTCCCCAAACATATAGAAGAAGGTACTCTGGTCAGATGAGACTAAAATTTAGCTTTTTGGCCATCAAGGAAAACGCTATGTCTGGCGCAAACACAACACCTCTCATCACCCCGAGAACACCATCCCCACAGTGAAGCATGGTGGTGGCAGCATCATGCTGTGGGGATGTTTTTCATCTGCAGGGACTGGGAAACTGGTCAGAATTGAAGGAATGATGGATGGCGCTAAATACAGAGAAATTCTTGAGGGAAACCTGTTTCAGTCTTCCAGAGATTTGAGACTGGGACGGAGGTTCACCTTCCAGCAGAACAATGACCCTAAGCATACTGCTAAAGCAACACTTGAGTGGTTTAAGGGGAAACATTTACATGTCTTTGAATGGCCTAGTCAAAGCCCAGACCTCAATCCAATTGAGAATTTGTGGAATGACTTAAAGATTGCTGTACACCAGCGGAACCCATCCAACTTGAAGGAGCTGGAGCAGTTTTGCCTTGAAGAATGGGCATAAATCCCAGTGGCTAGATGTGCCAAGCTTATAGAGACATACCCCAAGAGACTTGCAGCTGTAATTGCTTGAAAAGGTGGCTCTACAAAATATTTTGAATCTTCAAAGTGGTAGGCATGTAAATGAAATGATACAGGTTGTAAGGCAACAAAATAGGAAAAATGCCAAGGGGGGTGAATACTTTTGCAAGCCACTGTAGCTGTATCGAAGTGGCATTTTTAGGAAGTCCCATACCGGGATTTGGGGATTGAGAAGTAAATGAGAGAAGTGAACAATTCTTCCTTAGTTCAATTCCTTGAAATCAAAAGGCACAACCTAGATTTCAGCCAACGTCTTAAGTAGCTGAACATGTTATTATTCCAACCTCAAAAACAACTTTATATTGAAGGAGTACCTTTGGGCGCGTTTGAATGGTAAGGCGAAAGCAACCAACTGTGCAGAAGAAAGTTGAAAAGTGAAGTCGGAGGAGGTGCATCTGTGACAGAACGTCAGACACTAATGTGTTTTTGTAACAGCAAGGCTCAGATCAACATGGCAGTGTTGCTATTGTTTATTCAAGTTAAGGATTACTTTATCCTATCCCAGGTATTCCTTAAAGAGGTGGGGTTTCAAATGTCTCCGGAAGGTGGTGTGTGACTCCGCTGTCCTGGCGTCGTGAGGGAGCTTGTTCCACCATTGGGGTGCCAGAGCAGCGAACAGTTTTGACTGGGCTGAGCGGGAACTATGCTTCCGCAGAGGTAGGGGAGCCAGCAGGCCAGAGGTGGATGAACGCAATGCCCTCGTTTGGGTGTAGGGACTGATCAGAGCCTGAAGGTACGGAGGTGCCGTTCCCCTCACAGCTCCGTAGGCAAGCACCATGGTCTTGTAGCAGATGCGAGCTTCAACTGGAATCCAGTGGAGTGTGCGGAGGAGCGGGGTGACGTGAGAGAACTTGGGAAGGTTGAACACCAGACGGGCTGCAGCATTCTGGATGAGTTGTAGGGGTTTAATGGCACAGGCAGGGAGCCCAGCCAACAGCGAGTTGCAGTAATCCAGACGGGAGATGACAAGTGCCTGGATTAGGACCTGTGCCGCTTCCTGTGTAAGGCAGGGTCGTACTCTCCGAATGTTGTAGAGCATGAACCTACAGGATCGGGTCACCGCCTTGATGTTAGCGGAGAACGACAGGGTGTTGTCCAGGGTCACGCCAAGGCTCTTCGCACTCTGGGAGGAGGACACAACAGAGTTATCAACCGTGATGGCGAGATCATGGAATAGGCATTCCTTCCCCGGGAGGAAGAGCAGCTCCGTCTTGCCAAGGTTCAGCTTGAGGTGGTGATCCGTCATCCATACTGATATGTCTGCCAGACATGCAGAGATGCGATTCGCCACCTGGTTATCAGAAGGGGGAAAGGAGAAGATTAGTTGTGTGTCATCCGCGTAGCAATGATAGGAGAGGCCATGTGAGGATATGACAGAGCCAAGTGACTTGGTGTATAGCGAGAATAGGAGAGGGCCTAGAACTGAGCCCTGGGGGACACCAGTGGTGAGAGCACATGGTGCGGAGACAGCTTCTCGCCACGCCACTTGGTAGGAGCGACCGGTCAGGTAGGACGCAATCCAAGAGTGAGCCGCGCCGGAGATGCCCAGCTCGGAGAGGGTGGAGAGGAGGATCTGATGGTTCACAGTATCAAAGGCAGCAGACAGGTCTAGAAGGACAAGAGCAGAGGAGAGAGAGTTAGCTTTAGCAGTGCGGAGAGCCTCCGTGACACAGAGAAGAGCAGTCTCAGTTGAATGACCAGTCTTGAAATCTGACTGGTTTGGATCAAGAAGGTCATTCTGAGAGAGATAGCAAGAGAGTTGGCTAAAGACGGCACGCTCAATAGTTTTGGAGAGAAAAGAAAAAGGGATACTGGTCTGTAGTTGTTGACATCAGAGTGGTCGAGTGTTGGTTTTTTGAGAAGGGGTGCAACTCTCGCTCTCTTGAAGACGGAAGGGACATAGCCAGCGGTCAAGGATGAGTTGATCAGCGAGGTGAGGTAAGGGAGAAGGTCACCGGAGATGGTCTGGAGAAGAGAGGAGGGGATAGGGTCAAGCGGGCAGGTTGTTGGGCGGCCTGCCATCACAAGTCGCAAGATTTTATCTGGAGAGAGAGGGGAGAAAGAAGTCAAAGCATAGGGTTGGGCAGTGTGAGCAGGACCAGCAGTGTCATTTGACTTAACAAACGAGGATCGGATGTCGTCAACCTTCTTTTCAAAATGGTTGACGAAGTCATCCACAGAGAGGGAGGAGGGGGGGGGGGGGGGGGTGAGGATTCAGCAGGGAGGAGAATGTGGCAAAGAGCTTCCTAGGGTTAGAGGCAGATGCTTGCAATTTAGAGTGGTAGAAAGTGGCCTTAGCAGCAGAAACAGATGAAGAAAATGTAGAGAGGAGGGAGTGAAAAGATGCCAGGTCCGCAGGGAGTCTAGTTTTCTTCCATTTCCGCTCAGCTGCCCGGAGCTCTGTTCTGTGAGCTCGCAATGAGTCATCAAGCCACGGAGCTGGAGGGGAGGACCGAGCCGGCTGGGAGGATAGGGGACATAGAGAGTCAAAGGATGCAGAAAGGGAGGAGAGGAGGGTTGAGGAGGCAGAATCAGGAGATTGGAGGGAGAAGGATTGAGCAGAGGGAAGAGATGATAGGATGGAAGAGGAGAGAGTAGCGGGAGAGAGAGAGCGAAGGTTGCGACGGCGCATTACCATCTGTGTAGGGGCAGAGTGAGTAGTGTTGGAGGAGAGCGAGAGAGAAAAGGATACAAAGTAGTGGTCGGAGACATGGAGGGGAGTTGCAGTGAGATTAGTAGAACAACAGCATCTAGTAAAGATGAGGTCAAGCGTATTGCCTGCCTTGTGAGTAGGGGGGGACGGTGAGAGGGTGAGGTCAAAAGAGGAGAGGAGTGGAAAGAAGGAGGCAGAGAGAAATGAGTCAAATGTAGACGTAGGGAGGTTGAAATCCCCCAGAACTGTGAGGGGTGAGCCATCCTCAGGAAAGGAACTTATCAAGGCGTCAAGCTCATTGATGAACTCTCCAAGGGAACCTGGAGGGCGATAGATGACAAGGATATTAAGCTTAAATGGGCTAGTGACTGTGACAGCATGGAATTCAAATGAGGAGATAGACAGATGGGTCAGGGGAAAAATTGAGAATGTCCACTTGGGAGGGATGAGGATTCCTGTGCCACCACCCCGCTGACCAGATGCTCTCGGGGTATGCGAGAACACATGGTCAGACGAGGAGAGAGCAGTAGGAGTAGCAGTGTTTTCAGTGGTAATCCATGTTTCCGTCAGCGCCAAAAAGTCGAGGGACTGGAGGGTAGCATAGGCTGAGATGAACTCTGCCTTGTTGGCAGCAGAACGGCAGTTCCAGAGGCTGCCTGAGACCTGGAACTCCACATGGGTGGTGCGTGCAGGGACCACCAGGTTAGAGAGGCATTAGCCACGCGGTGTGAGGCATTTGTATAGCCTGTGCGGAGAGGAGAGAACAGGGATAGGCAGAGGCATAGTTGACAGGCTGCAGCAAATGGCTACAATAATGCAGAGGAGATCGGAATGAAATGAACTAAACATCTGGGAAAGGAGAGAGCGGGGCCTCCCTCACCACAACTCCCAAATATAACTCTCCCAACTTCCACCTCAGAAACTATAATTGTTGTAAACTACAGCGGTTCAATGTTTTCTAGGAATAGACTAACTTAGTTTATTCAGCTAGCTAACTAGGTACAGTATTATTCCGTGAAAATCGTCCAGGCACCTAGTCATAAGATACCACAGCCAGCTAGCATGCCGGACTCCAACAACACGGTTTAGCGCCAATACTCGGCCACAACAAACCACCAGTGTATCAACACGCAAGCAGATCGTTCGTGTCCGTGTCTAACGTTGTGGGTTAGTCCCGACAGCTTGAGCGAGTCCGTCGTCAACTTATTCAGCCAGTTAGTTAGCTAGAATAGTTAGCAAGCTAGCTAGCCATTGCTTTCAGACAAAGAAGAACCCCTCCTTTCACGGCACGAACACACAGAGAGAGCCAAGCTAACGTTAACTAGTCACCCATGTCCCGAATTCCTTGAACGACTCGGGCTACCAATATGTAAAAAACAAAACACAAATGTAAGTTATGACTTACCCCTAGCAGCTACTGTTAGCTAGCCAAGTGCAAAGCTAGCCACTGAATTGACTCAGCCAGTTCGCGTCTGTTCGCTAGGTCGTTCCAGCTATTGTTTACTAGTAGCTATCCAGGTAGCAACAAGCTAGCTAAATTTCAAGCACAGTAGCCACTTGCTACCTAACGTTAACGGTTCAGACAATGAGGTTAGAAAACAGTTGAATGGTAGGCAATTATTGTATGTAATTATTGTAGGCAGCCAGCTGGCGTAATTACAGGCACTCTCAGGCGTGAAACAACTATACCGTTGCTAATAGCTACTCGCCAGCTAGTCCAGGTGGTACCATCTAGTACCTCCAGAACAGCCTGAATTCTTCAGGGCATGGACACTTTGCTCGATTGTTATCAAGGGACCTAACATGTATCGTAGCAAGTTGGTTCTGTTTCAGTCATGTCTTTGGTCACATTCGTGTGGTTCAAACAAATCAAATCAATGTGGCAGTGTTGCTATTGTTTATTCAAGTTTTTCTTTATAATGTTGAAATAAACATGTCTCCAACCCCCATATTACACACTCACACAAACTGAAATCATATGTGTGTAGGCCTACATTGTACAATCAATTAGTGAGAGAGAGCATCAAATGTGACATTCATTTGTATACACTCAGTGGCCAGTTTATTAGGTACCATCTAGTACCTCCAGAACAGCCTGAATTCTTCAGGGCATGGACACTTTGCTCGATTGTTATCAAGGGACCTAACATGTATCGTAGCAAGTTGGTTCTGTTTCAGTCATGTCTTTGGTCACGTTCGTGTGGTTCAAACAAATCAAATCAAATCAATGTTTTTATCTGTCACATGCTTTGTAGACAACAGTTGTAGTGCTTACAGGACGAAGAACAGTTTCTATATCTACGTATCTAAGGCTCTGGTCTGTCCAAGAAGTGAGGGTAAATAGTAGAAATGTTCTCTGCTATCCACTTAATTTTTTAAAATTATTATTTTGGGGATAGGGGAGGGTCACTTGTTTGTTTTTTCAAGCATTCAGGGAGGGTTTAGGTAAAATATATCCATTTACACTTTCATTTTAGAGAGGTCTGATTTCTCCACGTAACCCTTATTATAAATAACGTTCACTCCCTAAATGCTTCAAAATTCACAAAAAGCTGATGAAGATTATCTCATAGAACAAAACGTTTAAGATCTGTGTTTCCCACAGACTTTCTTTTCGGCTTTTATCCCAAAACACCCTACAAAGCACCATTTATTTCCACATAGGCTTTGTCCAACGAACCATGGCGGAGTTTCTAAAAACCTTTTTTTGCTTTGTCATTATGGGGTATTGTGTGTAGATTGATGAGGGAAAAAACCAATTTAATCAAATTTAGAATAAGGCAGTAACGTAACAAAATGTGGAAAAAGTCAAGGGGTCTGAATGCTTTCCGAAGGCACCGTACATGTCAGCAGGGATGGAAATTAAGCTCGCCCGAGGCTAGTACTTTTCAGACTGGGCTAGTGGGCAATGTGCCAAACTAACCTGACACAACAGTGAAATGTTGCCTTTACAAACATCACATCCCACAGGTTTAGGACCTGAATGTTCCCCGGGCTGGTAGAAATCATGGTCTACTGGCCAGTGCTCAAAATCCTTATGTTCCATCCCTGCATATCAGTTCCTTTCAGATCCTGTCCTGATCATCTAGTTGAGCATTCCAGATAATTCCTCCGTCCAGATGGGCGAACCGGAAACCCAGTGACAACACTTGGGTCTGCAGGTGCCATTTTCCGGTGGGAAAGAGAAATGATGTTGACTGTTGATTGGGAAACCAGAACAAACAATGTGGAATGAGGATTGGGTGTTGAGGAACCACTTGTCACATTGTCCAAGGTGGATTTGTGTTATAATAAAGAATGCGTTTTCTGTCCAGATAAAGATGTTGATACAGTCTCTCCCTCCCTCCCTCTCTCTCTCCCTCTCTCTCTCTCTCTCTCCCTCTCTCTCTCTCTCTCTCTCTCTCTCTCTCTCGCTCCCTCTCTCTCTCTCTCTCTCTCTCTCTCTCTCTCTCTCTCTCGTTAAGCAGTCCAGATGATTTTCATAGGGTGTGACCTATCCAACTCTACTTACTTCTTATTTGGAGTTCAACGGTAACATTGAAGTTCCAGGCACGAGGGATGATGCCAGATGCTGGGATAGAAGGTAGCCCTTTTCTTTGATGCTGCTTTGCTTTGATGTTGGCAGTTAATTTAAATATAGTCAGTTAATCATTCAACTTAAACTGGCTGGCTAGTTAGCTTACAAACAAACATACTGTGCAGATATATCTACAAATTCACCTGGCTAAATTATAGTTTGAGGAGGAGTGACATAACACTGTGCTGTTACATGTGTATATGGCCTTGTTTAACAGCAAAATGAGCTAAACTGAAACATCTGCTAACTACTTTAATCATTTCATTATTGCAAATGCTCAGGCAGCTGCCATTTTCCATTGGGAAAGAAAAATGGCTCTGCATTTACCAGAAAAGGAAGCTCCACACAACAAAGGGGGTGGCTTCCTCCACTCGAATTCCACATCCATACAGCTGATATTGTGAACTGCGAAAATAGCCAATGCTGCCGCATGGCTACACTTATGAGCTCCACGGTTGCATTCACATGTGGTAGATAGTATAGCCTGGTCACCTATAGAGACCTGCCAAGAAGAAGTATTTTAAGTGCCACGTGCCTTTCAACGTATGACTTTGAACACCTTGAACTACATTTGTTGTAAGAAATGTGCTATATAAATCAAGTTTGATTTAATTGATGACATTGCAGCTCTAGAATATTTAATAAACTGTAATTTTCACATGAGGACAAGTGCAGTTTTTCCATAAACTTTTAATTGATAACTTGAGATTTTATCACTTGACATACTGTATCAATCATACAGTGGGAAGGATCCTACAAATCAAGACTGTGTGAATGCATGTACCTACCACTCTGAACAAATAAATACTGTGCCTTTGAATATTTGTCTCCAGTCATGCAACTACAAAACAGACTTGATGTCTAAACAAAACAGTCCGGGTAGCCATGATTAGTTGTTCAGGAGTCTTATGGCTTGGGGGTAGAAGCTGTTAAGAAGCCTTTTGGACCTAGACTTGGCGCTCCGGTACTGCGTGTCGTGCGGTAGCAGGGAGAACAGTCTATGACTAGGGTGGCTGGAGTCTTTGACAATTTTTAGAGCCAAACTCTGACACCGCCTGGTATAGAGGTCCTGGATGGCAGGAAGCTTGGCCCCAGTGATGTACTGGGCCTTACGCACTACCCTCTGTAGTGCCTTGCGGTCGGAGGCCGAGCAGTTGCCATACCAGGCGGTGATGCAACCAGTCAGGATGCTCTCGATGGTGCAGCTGTATAACTTTTTGAGGGTTTGAGGAAATTGAGTAAATTGAGGCAAATATATTGATAAAAATCACCTTGTCCAAGAGAGAATTACACAGTTATCAAAATGTCACGGCAAGTTAAGCCTACACCAAACACATACTTTGTTTGAAGTTTTTGTAAAATTCACTATGTGAAAAATTTATGGTACAAAAACGATTGGAACCATTTCTGTGTTTGACCACTAGGTTTTATGGGTACTTTGAGGTATCCACTGAAATCCCTGCTCAGCTTGTAGGCGATGTCATGGCGACATTGGCTAGCTAAGCTCATGCGCAGAAATCTCGCGCCGAACTGCGCATGTGCAGGCCATCAAATCAAAGGCACGCCTTCGATATAAAGTTGTTTTTGATGAAAATGAAAATGTGTCAGTTTGTCACTTTCACGAGGTTGAAGTAACAACATGTTCAACTACTTCAGACATTGGCTCTAATATAGGTTGTGCCTTTAGATTTCGAGAAAATTAACAACTAAGGAAGAATGTTTCACTTCTCTCATTGACTTCTCTAACCCCAAACTCCGGCCTGGTCTGCTTGGTCTGCTTCACAATTGTTCCCGGAAGTCTTGCGATGTTGCGCCTCTGGGTTTAGAAACTCTGTGTTGATTAGCTCTATAGTTGCCCAACGTCGCCATGACATCGCCTACAAGAGTGATCGGGGATTTCTATTGGCGAAGCAGTTTCTACATATCTTCACACTAAATCATCCTTGCCTTACTCGTTTTAAAATTTCAATTTCAATGTGGTGACGTCAGAGTTGGGACGTCCCAAGGATCCCATTTAGATTTTTCCATGACGTTCGACCAAATCCGGAAATAGCAGACAGCTGAAGCAACTCGTTATTCTTTGAGCTGCTATCGTGCAACCAGGTGGACGACGACTTCCTTTTCTTGTACTTCGAGCATCAAGGTAAAATATATTTTTTATGTTATTTGTTTAGAAAATCTCCAACACAATACTGTTTTGTTATTATTGGTGTTGGCTAAGTAATTGTGCTGCTGTGATAGGAGCAGACAGAGTAGCCTAGAGCAGGAGTATCATTCATTGGGGTCTGTGTTATTCTCTCTCACCGTTGTGTATGAAAAGCATTGCATTGCCTGCAGTAGTCCAGAACATTGCAAAAATATAAGCATTTTGTTTAATGTAATATGGCTACACATTTTAGTGTGTATCTGTTTTTAGTGTTCATTTAAGTGCATCTATAACTTCCTTCCTCTAAATTAATTAAACACCTTGACCTAATTCGTAGGGTCTTTTTATTTTGCTCCATGAACGAAACTTATATTTGGAAACACCTGCTTTCAATATACTTTATATCCCTCATTTACTCGTGTTTCCATTATTTTGGCATTTACCTGTATGTAGCATATCACGTTTGTGTGCAGACGCTGCTTCATCTTGATGACAGAGCATTCGTCATAGTGCAGTGTAGCCTAATTACAAGATTGCCTGATGACTGGGTTTATGATTTAAATGGAGATTATGTGATAAGCATTCATATTGAATATGAAGATCAAGAATTTCCGTCCCATCTTAACCCCCTTCCATGCCTCTGCAGTCTCATACCTTGAAAGTGGAAGTGGAAATGTTCAGAAAGTTAGTGTAATAATGTCATGTGGTATGTTGACATGATGTTGAGTGCAACATCTGCTGTACACATATCACACACTTAATCTCAGTGCTCTGTATGTAGGCTATAGTGATATAATTTATAATAACCTACTTTTCCCCCAAAATTATACAGATCTGAGATGTATTCTACAGAGACCCATAATGGAGTGTTATTATAAGTTAGTAGCACAACTCAACAACCATATTCCTTTCACTTAGGTATGGCGCTGTGATAGCGTAGCCTAAAGAGAGGGACACTGTGGTCCATCGTATGATGTTACCTCCATGGCTCACCAGAGGGTAAACAGGCTTTGCCAGCATGGCGCTTGTATGGGGCAAACACACCACTGCCTGTCCATTGTAGGAACAGATGCTGTAAATAAAGGAATTCTCTCTGTGCTTTGTTGTGTCAACCATGTGTTAGTATCTCTGTTACTACTGAGAGACATATAGCCCTAATTTTACTTTCATTTTCAAAGTTACAAAGTGGGAGTTGTTCCTCTATGTGGGAACCCTGTGAATGAGTTATCGCATAACTGTAATTTAATGGGTCATTAACCCAGAGAAAGATCATTTTAGATTAATCCCATAAGACCAATATGCAGCCAGGCCCACAGTTAAGTAACAATTATGTGTGTTGCTGCTGTCTGCTCAGCCTGGCTGGGTTTGCTCCTTTATGTGAAATCACCATGAAAGCCTCTCTCTGCAGTGGGAGCTCAGTTGAGTTGACCCAGTAAATTCTCACATGAATATCAATCTACTCATCCTGTATGGCACGATGACTCATATCTATGTGACTGCATTGCGTTTCAGTTTAGTCTCAATCAATTCTGGAGCATAATTTCATAGTAATTTCTTTTTAGAAGGTACACAGTATAGGCTAATCTACTTGCAGTTTTTGTATGCCTTCAAAAACAATTCATACCCCTTGACTTATTCCACATTTTGTTGTGTTACAGCCTGAATTCAAAGTTGAATAAATTGATTTTCTTTCTTACCCGTCTGTCTACACACAATACCCCATAATAACAAAGTGAAAACATGTTTTTAGAAATGTTTGCAAATGTATTGAAAATGAAATACAGAAATATGACATTTACATAAGTATTCACTCCCCTGAGTCAATAGAATCTAGAAGCTCCTTTGGTGGCGATTACAGCTGTGAGTCTTTTGGGATAAGTCTCTAAGAGCTTTGCACACCTGGATTGTACAATATTTGCCCATTATTCTTTAAAAAAAATTTCAAGCTCTGTCAAGTTGATTGTTGATCATTGCTAGACAGCAATTTTCTAGTCTTGCCATAGACTTTCAAGCCGATTTAAGTCAAAACTGTAACTAGGTCACTCAGGAACATTCAATTTTTTTTGTTTTTTGTTTTTGTTTTTTTTGCTTACCAATGTTGTCTTGGTAAGCAACTCCAGTGTAGATTTGCCCTTGTGTTTTAGGTTATTGCTGAAAGGTGAATTCATCTCCCATTGTCTGTTGGAAAGCAGACTGAACCAGGTTTTCCTCTACGATTTTGCCTGTGCTTATAGCTGTATTCTGTTTCTTTTTATCCTAAAAAAAACTCCCTAGTCCTTGCTGATGACAAGCATACCAATAACATGTTGCAGCCACCACCATGCTTGAAAATATGAAGAGTGGTACTCAGTGATGTGTTGTGTTGGATTTGACCCATCGTGGCGGCAGGTAGCTTAGTGGTTAAGAGCGTTGTGCCAGTAACCGAAAGGTCGCTGGTTCTAATCCCAGAGCCGACTAGGTGAAAAACCTGTCGATGTGCCCTTGAGCAATGCACTTAACCCTAATTGCTCCTGTAAGTCGCTCTGGTTAAGAGCATCTGCTAAATGACAAAAAATAAAATAAAATAAATAAACGCTTTGTAATTCAGGAAAAAAAGTAAATTTCTTTGTCACATTTCTTTTGCATTATTACTTAAGTGCCTTATTGCAAACAGGATGCATGTTTTGGAATATTTGTATTCTGTACAGGCTCCTTTCTTTTCACTCTGTCATTTAGGTTAGTATAGTGGAGTAACTTCAATGTTGTGGATCCATCCTCAGTTTTCTCATATCACAACCATTAAACTCTGTAACTGTTTTAAAATCACCATTGGCCTCATGGTGAAATCTCTGAGGAGTTTCCTTCCTCTCCGGCAACTGAGTTAGGAAGGACGCCTGTATCTTTGTAGTGACTGGGTGTATTGATACACCATCCAAAGCCTAATGAATCACTTCACCATGCTCAAAGGGTTATTCAGTGTCTGCTTTTTGTTTTACACATATACCAACCGGTGCCCTTCTTTGAAAAACCTCGCTGGTCTTTGCGGTTGAATCTGTACTTGAAATTCAATACGTGGTTGAGGGACCTTGCAGATAATTGAATGTGTGGGGTACAGAGATGGGGTAGTCATAAAAAAATCATGTTAACCACTATTATTGAACACGTAATGAGTCCATGCAACTTATTATGCGATTTGTTAAGCACATTTTTAGTCCTGAACTTATTTAGGCTTGCCATAACAAAGGGGTTGAATACTTATTAACTCAAGACATTTCAGCTTTAATTAACAATTAATAAAAAAATATGTCTACAAACAAAATTCCACTTTGACATGTGTTACATACGCGAATGCGGTGGATTTAGATGCATCCAATGCAAAAAAACATGTCTCTAGCTTAAACTGATTTTTGTATTATGCTTATTAGATTTCCGTGGGCTCGGACATCGACCTTAGAGGGTTTTAAGTGCCTGTAATTTTACGGTACACTACAGGCTACTGGTTGCAGTGAAAGTACGCTAAACAACAAGTTACTGAATTTTGGGTATTTGTGCCAACCGTCAGTGGAAGTGTTGTAACAGTTTAAGTGGTTGATGGTTATGTTGTCAAAGGTTGAGCACCTCTTTTAACACTGTCAGTTCTGCAATCTTTGTAAGAGCATGTGACAATAAAGAGCTGCACTGTTAAGAGGTTACTGTGCATTTCACAGTAACTTAATGGCAGTTAGTTGCCTGGAAGTTGCTGTGAATTTTGCATGCAATTTTAATCTAGTTTGTGTTGCTTCATGTAACAGCAAAGTTGCTTGAGATGATGTCACTTGCAACTACACATCATTGACCTCTGGAAAAAAACCACCAAACAACCCGCTGCAGTAAGGCCATTTTGAATAGTAAACACATGCACCCTTCCTTCTTTCTTTGAGGAAATAGCTCATCTGACATAGTAAGATTGCTTGCCTTTAACCAATGGGGAGGAAGCGTTGCATCTACTCACTTTAATGATCAGTGATTACCTCAAGGAAGGGATGTATTTGAAAGGTATTTGAATAGAGCCTAGTTGTTGAGTGCAGAGGGTCCGCTCTTACCTTTTGCTTTTTGTTGGTGCTGTCTAACAGACATAAAACGCATAAAAGAAATGCCTTGTGATTCATGATCGACTCAAGACTAAAGCATTTATCTTATACTTGCTTTTTTTTGGGGGGGGGGGGGGGGGGGGTTCAATAAGAATGCTCCGAATTCCTGGCCCTCACATATTGGCCAAGGAAGACTGAAATCTACTGGTGCTAGTCCAGGATTCAGCAGGTCTGTTCTCTGCACAAGGGCACAGGGCAACCTAAAAAGCCCTACTGGCTGTGATGAACGCGCCGTCTCTCAGCTACACTGCATGTCTGTGCGTGTCCACAAGCACTCTTTGTGAAGACATGACAGTCTTCACTCATGCAGTGGAAAAAGTCAAGGTTCATCTGTCTAGCATACCAAAAACAGCAGGCGCAAATTCTGGTTATCCTATAGGGTAACCTATTTTTTTGTTAATTTGCAAGGACAAAGGTATCTCTTGATGGAGACGTAGTAGGCATATCTACAGTGACATCATTGTGAGTGGCGCAGACAGTCTTAGGAAATATTTTGGTGTCACCGACCTTTGCTGTTGCTGTTACTTCAGGGGCCTTTGCACCCCGCCTTGAAAACATATCTGACGGAAACCCTGTGGTGCTAGTAGCTCAGCCTTCTTTGGTGAGCAGTTTTAAAACGTGTTGGAGTGGGCCTTTGTTGTATGACTCATGCTCGGTGCTGTAAAAACCTTAAAGAAGGATGATGTTGAAATTGTGTAGGCAGGGCCTATAGTAGTTGTGGGGTGTATATTGATGGGGGTAGTTAAAGGGGAACGTGTAGGCCTACGTTTCTATGTTATTCCTCTGATTTGTTTGTGTATGAGTCAGTTTATGTGCCAGTTCTGGGAGATGCTGGCTAGTAGTGATGCGCTAATTGTCTCATAACCACAGTCCCCATGTACAGTACCAGTCAAAAGTATGACCCACCTACTCATTCCAGGGTTTTTCTACTATTTTTACTATTTTCTACATTGTAGAATAATAGTGAAGACATCAAAACTATGAAATAACACATATGGAATCATGTGGTAACCAAATAAGTGTTAAACAAATCAAAATATATTTTATATTTGAGATTCTTCAAAGTAGCCACCCTTTGCCTTGATGACAGCTTTGCACACTCTTGGCATTCTCTCAACCAGCTTCGTGAGGTAGTCACCTGGAATGCATTTAAATTAACAGGTGTGCCTTGTTAAAAGTTAATTTGTGGAATTTCTTTCCTTCTTAATGCGTTTGAGCCAATCAGTTGTGTTGTGACAAGGTAGGGGTGGTATACAGAAGATGGCCCTATTTGGCAAAAGACCAAGTCCATATTATGGCAAGAACAGCTCAAATAAGCAAAGAGAAACTTCAGTCCATCATTACTTTAAGACATGAAGGTCAGTCAAGCCGGAACATTTCAAGAACTTTGAAAGTGCAGTCTCAAAAACCATCAAGCTCTATGATGAAACTGGCTCTCATGAGGACTGCCACATGAATGGAAGACCCAGAGTTACCTCTGCTGCAGAGGATAAGTTAATTAGAGTTACCAGCCTCAGAAATTGCAGCCCAAAGAAATGCTTCACAGAGTTCAAGTCACAGACACATCTCAACATCATCTGTTCAGAGGAGACTACATGAATCAGGCCTTCATGGTCGAATTACTGCAAAGAAACCAATACTAAGGGACACCAATAATAAGAAGAGACTTGCTTGGGCCAAGAAACACGAGCAATGGACATTAGACCGGTGGAAATCTGTCCTTTGGTCTGATGAGTCCAAATTTGAGATTTTTGGTTCCAACCGCCGTGTCTTTGTGAGACACAGAGTAGGTGAACGGATGATCTCAGCATGTGTGGTCCCACCGTGAAGCATGAAGGAGGAGGTGTGGGGGTGCTTTGCTGGTGACACTGTCTGTGATTGATTTATTTAGAATTCAAGGCACACTTAACCAGCATGGCTACCACAGCATTCTGCAGCAATACGCCATCCCATCTGGTTTGATCTTAGTGGGACTATCATTTGTTTTTCAACAGGACAATGACCCAACAGACCTCCAGGCTGTTTAAGGGATATTTTACCAAGAAGGAAAGTGATGGAGTGCTGCATCAGACGACCTGTCCTCCACAATCACTGACCTCAACCCAATTTAGATAGTTTGGAATGAGTTGGACCGCAGAGTGAAGGAAAAGCAGCCAACAAGTGCTCAGCATATGTGGGAACTCCTTCAAGACTGTTGGAAAAGCATTCCTCATGAAGTTGGTTGAGAGAATGCCATGAGTGTGCAAAGCTGTCATCAAGGTAAAGGGTGGCTACTTTGAAGAATCTCAAATATAAAATATATTTTGATTTGGTTAACACTTTTTTGGTTACTACATGATTCCATACAGTGGGGAAAAAAAGTATTTAGTCAGCCACCAATTGTGCAAGTTCTCCCACTTAAAAAGATGAGAGAGGCCTGTAATTTTCATCATAGGTACACGTCAACTATGACAGACAAACTGAGAGAAAAAAAATCCAGAAAATCACATTGTAGGATTTTTTATGAATTTATTTGCAAATTATGGTGGAAAATAAGTATTTGGTCACCTACAAACAAGCAAGATTTCTGGCTCTCACAGACCTGTAACTTCTTCTTTAAGAGGCTCCTCTGTCCTCCACTCGTTACCTGTATTAATGGCACCTGTTTGAACTTGTTATCAGTATAAAAGACACCTGTCCACAACCTCAAACAGTCACACTCCAAACTCCACTATGGCCAAGACCAAAGAGATGTCAAAGGACACCAGAAACAAAATTGTAGACCTGCACTAGGCTGGGAAGACTGAATCTGCAATAGGTAAGCAGCTTGGTTTGAAGAAATCAACTGTGGGAGCAATTATTAGGAAATGGAAGACATACAAGACCACTGATAATCTCCCTCGATCTGGGGCTCCACGCAAGATCTCACCCCGTGGGGTCAAAATGATCACAAGAACGGTGAGCAAAAATCCCAGAACCACACGGGGGACCTAGTGAATGACCTGCAGAGAGCTGGGACCAAAGTAACAAAGCCTACCATCAGTAACACACTACGCCGCCAGGGACTCAAATCCTGCAGTGCCAGACGTGTCCCCCTGCTTAAGCCAGTACATGTCCAGGCCCGTCTGAAGTTTGCTAGAGTGCATTTGGATGATCCAGAAGAGGATTGGGAGAATGTCATATGGTCAGATGAAACCAAAATAGAACTTTTTGGTAAAAACTCAACTCGTCGTGTTTGGAGGACAAAGAATGCTGAGTTGCATCCAAAGAACACCATACCTACTGTGAAGCATGGGGGTGGAAACATCATGCTTTGGGGCTGTTTTTCTGCAAAGGGACCAGGACGACTGATCCGTGTAAAGGAAAGAATGAATGGGGCCATGTATCGTGAGATTTTGAGTGAAAACCTCCTTCCATCAGCAAGGGCATTGAAGATGAAACGTGGCTGGGTCTTTCAGCATGACAATGATCCCAAACACACCGCCCGGGCAACGAAGGAGTGGCTTCGTAAAAACCATTTCAAGGTCCTGGAGTGGCCTAGCCAGTCTCCAGATCTCAACCCCATAGAAAATCTTTGGAGGGAGTTGAAAATCCGTGTTGCCCAGCGACAGCCCCAAAATATCACTGCTCTAGAGGAGATCTGCATGGAGGAATGGGCCAAAATACCAGCAACAGTGTGTGAAAACCTTGTGAAGACTTACAGAAAACGTTTGACCTGTGTCATTGCCAACAAAGGGTATATAACAAAGTATTGAGAAACTTTTGTTATTGACCAAATACTTATTTTCCACCATAATTTGCAAATAAATTCATAAAAAATCCTACAATGTGATTTTCTGGATTCTTTTCCCTCATTTTGTCTGTCATAGTTGACATGTACCTATGATGAAAATTACAGGCCTCTCTCGTCTTTTTAAGTGGGAGAACTTGCACAATTGGTGGCTGACTTAATACTTTTTCCCCCCACTGAATGTATTATTTTATAGTTTTGATGTGTTCACTATTATTCTACAATGTAGAAAATAGTAAAAGTAAAGAGAACCTGAGTAGGTGTGTCCAAACTTTTGACTGGTACTGTATATAGGCCGGTGGGTTTAGGGTCATGAAATATTGTGTGGATAAAGGGAGGGTTGGTGACGGGTGGGTTGAATAAAGAGAAAACAATACATGACAAAAATTGTGCAATTTATATCTATAGGCTATAGTAAGGTTTTTCTTTCATTCTTTTTTAGGCTATCGGGCATCAGTGCGTAAGCTTTAAGGCCTAACTTTACGCATGCCAAATAGCCTACACACCAATCACCAAAAACCTTTAGGAATGGGCAGAAAAAGTAAACCTAGATCCACTGAGCCAAAAAGGACAATGTCGGATTAAATAAAAAAAACGGAGAGTTGAAAAAGAGAAGGGAGGTCCAGAAAAGTAATGTTTGGGAAAGATTTGGCGTAATGTTAAAAGAGGATGATAACAGTGCCTATGTTATGTATTGACCCCTGAGTGGCGCAGTGGTCTAAGGCTGTGCCACTAGAGATCCTGGTTCGAGTCCAGGCTCTGTCGCAGTCGGCCGCAACCGGGAGACCCATGGGCGGCACACAATTGGTCCAGCGTCGTCCAAGGTAGGGGAGGGTTTGGCCGGCAGGGATGTGGGTTCGTTTCCCACGGGGGGCCAGTATGAAAAAAAAACGTATGCATTCACTAACTGTAAGTCGCTCTGGATAAGAGCGTCTGCTAAATGACTAAAATGATCAATGGAAACAGGATGCACCTGAGTTCAATTTCGAGTCTCATAGTAAAGGGTCTGAATACTTATGTGAATAAGGTATTTCTGTTTTAGATTTACTAAAATGTAAATCTAAATGTAATGAAAACTGTTAGGCGCTATACAAATTAGACAGTCACAAGATGGGGACTTCAAATAGGCCTATGGCACGTCAAGGGAACTTTAACCTACTGTTCAGATGGGTTAAATGGAAACTGAAATCTGGACACTGACTGTAACCTCTCACATATCCTTAATATTAACTCCTGCAGAATCAAGCATTTCTTGCAGTAAAATTATACACCAAATGTACATTTTAACTCGGGAACAGGAGTGGAGAAATGGGATTTCTTTCTTTCAGCATCTTGAGAGAATGCTAATGCGCAGTTAGATACGTCTGTAGAGGTGCTATCTTTATCAGCATCATGAAAGCTGATAGTATTTAAACCACTTAAAATATGCCTCTAAGCCGAATTGAAATCTTAGCAGAAAAATGTTGGGTTGTTTTCACAACTTTTTATTTCCTTACAGCAGGTCAAACTGATGTCATTTGGAAATTTTGCACAGAAACCCTTTCCCATTTCCCCCCACCCCCATTTTTTGTTGTTGAGAGATTACTTTTTCTCCCCAGTCCCTAAATGTCTTTGCTCCTCAAATGAAGCATAGATGACAGAGAGAACTTTACCAATGTCAATTAGATTGAAGCATTCATTCTATAATTTATCACATTCTGGTAAGCAAGGGTTTATTTAGTCTTCTATGGCAACATACAGTATAATGACAGAAAATAAGCTGTATGTATCTAATTATAGACAAGTTGACTAACAAATAGCCTACCAAAATGTCGGAAAATAGTAGAAACATCTAAATTAGGCCCAAAGTAATCCTGCACCCCCTGTCAAAAAATTGTTCTGTCGCTGACTGTAGCCTACAGCGCAATTTCTATATATGTATATTTTTATAAATTATTATTGTATAATTTTTTTCTCCCAATTTCGTGAAATCAAATTGGTAGTTACGATCTTGTCTCATCGCTGCAACTCCCCAACGGGGTCGGGAGAGGCGAATGTCGAGAAACATGACCCACCAAGCCGCGCTGCTTCTTAACACCTGCTCGCTTAACCCGGAAGCCAGCCACACCAATGTGTTGGAGGAAACACCGTTCAACCTACGACTGAAGTCAGCTTGCAGGTGCCCGGCCCGCCACAAGGAGTCGCTAGAGCGCGATAAGCCAAGGAAAGCCCTCCGGCCAAACCCTCCCCTAACCCGGACGACACTGGGCCAATTGTGAACCGCCCTATCGGACTCCCGGTCGAACCCCAGGCAGTAGTGATGCCTCAACACTGCGATGCAGTGCCTTAGACTGCTGCGCCACTCGGGAGGCCCCGCAATTTCTATATTTACGGGTTAGGGTCAGTGTGGGCCTCAGATTTTCACTTTATCACATATAGTTGCGCTTGTAGATGGGTTATTAGCAATTGCGGGTGGTTGCAGGTGAACAAACAGCTGACCCGCGCACCACTACTGGCAGGTTCTGTGACGCGTTCCTCTTAACTTTCTCACTTCCCAATCCTTTTCATGCCAGTGATCAGAGAGCCACACACAATGCACCCTCATCCTCTCTTGGGTAGGAAGCCTGACTGTCCATTATATGAACCTCAAATATCCTAACTGAAACCTTACCAATCATTCTTGGTTTTAAGAGAACATCATCTCTCCTGACATGTTAATGGGTTGTGTGATAGCACTGTGTTATAGGAAGGTTATGAACATCACATAACTCTTTCAGCGGATGCTTCATCATTAGCATTCCAGTACGTGATCCAGTTATAGCCGTCTGACTCTTGTACAGTATGTGGTGAGTATCTTTAGCATGGACATGGAAACATGCAAAATGGCCTTTGCATACAGACACTCAATATTGGGATAGAAATAGCCTTCGAAAGATAAAGGGCGGAGGACAGAGTATCCTGATCTTCCTGGAGAATAAAATCAAATCAAAAATCATCAATTATTTAAAACAACAGGTGTAGACTAAAAGTGAAATGCTTAATTACGGGCCCTTCCCAGCAATGCAGAGAGAAAATATAAATAATATAAAAATAATAACATGAGGAATAAATACACAATGAGTAACAATAACCTGGCTATATACACGGGGTACCAGTACCGAGTCGATGTGCAGGGGTACGAGGTAATTTAGGTAGATATACAGTGCATTCGGAAAGTATTCAGACCGCTTGACTTTTTCCACATTTTGTTACATTATAGCCTTGTTCTAAAATTGATTAAATAAATGTTTTCCTCATCAATCTACACACAATACCCCATAATGACAAAGCGAAAACAGGTTTTTAGACATTTTTGTAAAAAAATAAATAAACAGAAATACATTTTTACTTAAGTATTCAGACCCTTTGCTATGAGACTCGGAATTGGAGCTCAGGTGCGTCCTGTTGCCATTGATCATCCTTGAGATGTTTCTATGACTTGATTGGAGTTGACCTGTGGTAAATTCAATTGATTGGACATGACTTGGAAAGGCACACACCTGTCTATATAAGGTGACAGTGCATGTCAAAGCAAAAACCAAGCCATGAGGTTGAAGGAATTGTCTGTAGAGCTCCGAGACAGGATTGTGTTGAGGCACAGATCTGGGGAAGGGTACCAAAACATTTATGCAGCATTGAAGATCCCCAAGAACGCAGTGGCCTCCATTATTCTTAAATGGAAGAAGTTTGGAACCACCAAGACTCTTCCTAAAGCTGGCCGCCCGGCCAAATTGAGCAATTGGAGTAGAAGGGCCTTGGTCAGGGAGGTGACCAAGAACCCGATGGTCACTCTGACAGAGCTCCAGAGTTCCTCTGTGGAGATGGGAGAACCTTCCAGAAGGACAACCATCTCTGCAGCACCCCATCAATCAGGCCTTTATGGTAGTGGCCAGACGGAAGCAACTCCTCAGTAAAAGGCACATGACAGCCCACTTGGAGTTTGCCAAAAGGCACCTAAAGGACTCTCAGACCATGAGAAACAAGATTCTCTGGTCTGATAAAACCAAGATTGAGCTCTTTGGCCTGAATGCCAAGCGTCACGTCTGGAGGAAAATGGTGAAGCATGGGGGTGGCAGCATCATGCTGTGGGGATGTTTTTCAGCGGTAGGGACTGGAGACTAATCAGGATCGAGGGAAAGATGAACGGAGCATAGTACAGAGAGATCCCTGATGAAAACCTGCTCCACAGCGCTCAGGACCTCAGACTGGGGCAAAGGTTCACCTTCCAACAGTGTGCTTAGGGTCGGGGGGGGGGGGGGGGGGGGGGGGTACTAGTTATGAAGCTGCCAGGGTACTATTTAATGAAGCCTTGCCGTTGAGGACCTGGTGAGGCCGCGTCTGTTTCTCAAACCTAGACACTAATGTATTTGTCCTCTTGCTCAGTTGTGCACCGGGCCTCCCATTCCTCTTTCTATTCTGGGTTAGAGCCAGTTTGCACTGTTTTGTGAAGGGAGTAGTACACAGCGTTGTACGAGATTTTCAGTTTCTTGGCAATTTCTCGCATGGAATAGCCTTCATTTCTCAGAACAAGAATAGACTGACGAGTTTCAGAAGAAAGTTATTTGTTTCTGGCCATTTTGAGCCTGTAATAGAACCCACAATTGCTGATGCTCCAGATACTCAACTAGTCTCAAGAAGGCCAGTTTTATTGCTTCTTTAATCAGCACAACATTTTTCAGCTGTGCTAACAAAAGCAAAAGGGTTTTCTAATGATCAATTAGCCTTTTAAAATGATAAACTTGGATTAGCAAACACAACATGCAATTGGAACACAGGACTGATGGTTGCTGATAACGGGCCTCTGTACGCCTATGTAGATATTCCATAAAAAATCAGCCATTTCCAGCTACAATAGCCATTTACAACATTAACAATGTCTACACTGTATTTCTGATCAATTTGATGTTATTTTAATGGACAATTCTAAGTGACCCCAAACTTTTGAACGGTAGTGTATATAAAAACTTTGGGAGCAATGCCATTCTGAAGATATTTATTCTACCTGTAAGATTTATGGGAAGATTGTTCTATTTAATTAGATCCGTTTTCATATTGTTGAATAATAGGATAAAGTTATCTTTACATATTTGTTGTTTGTTTTCACTTATTAAGCATCCTAAGTATTTGATATATTTTTAGGTCAACTTAAAGGATTGCTGTAGATCAGGAATTATACGATTTCCTATTGGCATTATTTAGTTTTTTTCCCCACGTTACTTTTATATCCTGAGATTTTAGAGTATTCCGAAAATATTTTTAGCATGCTGGTGCTAAATTAATACGTAATTACTGATTGTTACCATGGCAACAGCTTCCAGTTCTTTGCTGTGAGTGAGACAGGGCTGAGAGCTGAGGAAAACTGACTCACGCTTTTATACGAGGGAATGTGAAAGATCATATTAAAACTAGAGCCGGTTATATAAGCCCTAGGGCCAAAACGCAGCTTATTTCAACGAAGGACGAAAACTGAGGCAGATCTGTATGCATGAAATGTGACAATGCAACAAAATATATGAAAACAAATTAGGCACTGTGGAGAAGAATTGAAGCTCTGAGGCCGCCTCAGTAGTCTCCATTCACATAACAAGCACCAGGCAGGCAATAAAAACATGCATTGATGGAAACCTTAATGAAAATACCGTGCACTCTTTCTAAGTCAGTAAAAAAAAACATTGAATATTGAGTACTGTAACAATCACTGACAGATCCTACCTAAACAAGGCTGATTTTCAAAATGTAGAGGGCTACCACTATACTCTACCGTAGTAAAGAATGAAGTTGAGATCACGATTGAGCTATCAAGTAGCCTAGCGACTGAAAATAAGGGAGAGAATGCAACTGGTGTAGTCAAGCTGTGTGTCATCTCTAGGTTTCACAGTCGGAGGGCATAATTACATATTGCTTCAAAGGGAGAAGCTGCTGCTTTCAGGCTTTGATATGGGGAATTAAAATATCTCAATAAGTTGGCTGGTCAGATATTTTGCAAACAGCAGCCTTATGTAATGATAGGTCAAGGTAGGGGTATAAGAGATAATAGCTTTTTGTGTTTCTTTCGTGTCCTCATACAAAGCATTAATACAATTTAATAGCTCATTAATAGCTGACACAAAGACCACAACTTTTATTTGAATAAAACAGCGCTCCAAACAGAAGTATGCAGGCGTAATTCACTGCTTATGGCTAACCTTAAAATCATTAGCTGACAACTAAATTCTTCTTTCTGTAGGATTATTCCAGCATTATGTGCTGTAGGATGGAGGTTTGGTGCGGGGGCGCTAGGTGAGTGGCTGGTGTGTGTGTGTGTGTGTGTGTGTGTGTGTGTGTGTGTGTGAATCCTGCAGGGTTGTATTCACTTAGAACCTAACGGAAGAAATTAAAGTTAACTAAAATGTACGCTTAATTCAGTATAAACTATTGTATAGAATTGATTATACAACAGACAACATTCACAAATGCTACAGCACAAAGGCAGAGTCATGTCTTCAGTAGCGGTGCGTGGGTAAAATGACTGGGGAAGTCAAGCCAGAAAAAAAAGCCATATTACAACCTATGTGTTGTGATAATTGTGTTGTTTGCTCTATAACCTGTTAGTTCATATGCCTTGACACCGTGATATATAGGCCTAAGGCCGAGACAATAAGACACAATGGCAGAATAAATTCAACCACTGATTTGTTTCATTACAAAACCGGAGAGCAACATCTGTCCGGTGAAGTCCACAAAACATATTGCACGTAACAAACAGTTACATGACCTACAGTCAAGCAAGGTAATGTTTCTGACATTTTCGGACTACTAAACAACTATTTATTTAGAACCACGTAGAGTTACCGCAAGTTGCAAAGAAATCTGCCTCCAGTATTCCAGCACCATTTTAACTTCAACATTTCAACATCATCTAATCACTTATGCTTACAGTGAGGGAAAAAAGTATTTGATCCCCTGCTGATTTTGTACGTGTGCCCACTGACAAAGACATGATCAGTCTATAATTTTGATGGTAGGTTTATTTGAACAGTGAGAGACAGAATAACAACAAACAAATCCAGAAAAACGCATGTCAAGAATTTTATAAATTGATTTGCATTTTAATGAGGGAAATAAGTATTTGACCCCTCTGCAAAACATGACTTAGTACTTGGTGGCAAAACCCTTGTTGACAATCACAGAGGTCAGACGTTTCTTGTAGTTGGCCACCAGGTTTGCACACATCTCAGGAGGGATTTTGTCCAACTCCTCTTTGCAGATCCTCTCCAAGTCATTAAGGTTTCGAGCCTGACGTTTGGCAACTCAAACCTTCAGCTCCCTCCACAGATTTTCTATGGGATTAAGGTCTGGAGACTGGCTAGGCCACTCCAGGACCTTAATGTGCTTCTTCTTGAGCCACTCCTTTGTTGCCTTGGCCGTGTGTTTTGGGTCATTGTCATGCTGGAATACCCATCCACGACCCACTTTCAATGCCCTGGCTGAGGGAAGGAGGTTCTCACCCAAGATTTGACGGTACATGGCGCCGTCCATCGTCCCTTTGATGCGGTGAAGTTGTCCTGTCCCCTTAGCAGAAAAACACCCCCAAAGCATAATGTTTCCACCTCCATGTTTGACGGTGGGGATAGTGTTCTTGGGGTCATAGGCAGCATTCCTCCTCCTCCAAACACGGCGAGTTGAGTTGATGCCAAAGACCTCGATTTTGGTCTCATCTGACCACAACACTTTCACCCAGTTCTCCTCTGAATCATTCAGATGTTCATTGGCAAACTTCAGACGGGCCTGTATATGTGCTTTCTTGAGCAGGGGGACCTTGCGGGCGCTGCAGGATTTCAGTCCTTCACGGTGTAGTGTGTTACCCATTGTTTTCTTGGTGATTATGGTCCCAGCTGCCTTGAGATCATTGACAAGATCCTCCCGTGTAGTTCTGGGCTGATTCCTCACCGTTCTCATGATCATTGCAACTCCACGAGGTGAGATCTTGCATGGAGCCCCAGGCTGAGGGAGATTGACAGTTATTTTGTGTTTCTTCCATTTGCGAATAATCGCACCAACTGTTATCACCTTCTCACTAAGCTGCTTGGCGATGGTCTTGTAGCCCATTCCAGCCTTGTGTAGGTCTACAATCTTGTCCCTGACATCCTTGGAGAGCTCTTTGGTCTTGGCCATGGTGGAGAGTTTGGAATCTGGTTGATTGATTGCTTCTGTGGACAGGTGTCTTTTATACAGGTAACAAGCTGAGATTAGAAGCACTCCCTTTAAGAGTGTGCTCCTTACCTCAGCTCGTTACCTGAATAAAAGACACCTGGGAGCCAGAAATCTTACTGATTGAGAGGGGGTCAAATACTTATTTCCCTCATTAAAATGCAAATCAATTTATAACATTTTTGACATGTGTTTTTCTGGATTTTTTTTTTGTTATTCTGTCTCTCACTGTTCAAATAAACCTACCATTAAAATTATAGACTGATCATTTCTTTGTCAGTGGGCGAACGTACAAAATCAGCAGGGGATCAAATACTTTTTTCCCTCACTGTAGTCTGATACAGTGACGACTAAAAGATGCCAAAAACAATTTAGTCCAATCAACGTAAGCTAAATATGATGTGGCTGTCCATGGGACTGATTTCTGTGTGTGTGTGCATGCAAGTAGAAAAACATGTTGACTCGCCCTACTTGTAGAGAAATGCAAATGTCATCCTCCTCTTTCATGTTGCCTAAACGGTCTATGACTCTGTCATACAGTACACGCTTTTAGTTTTTGTTGTGCTAGGTGACCTGGCTAAAATGCTTGCTAGCTAGCCTAACTTCCTTTCATGGGCAACGTTGTGCCAGGCCAGCTAGTTAACATTAGTATACCACATCTAGCTACATGTTGAACTTCCATCCTCTCAGGCCTGGGGCATAATGTATTAATTTATGGTTGCATCAGAATCGCCGTTATAATAATTGGCTAGTACAGAGAATTAAGTAAAACCACAAGTCCAAATCCCTATCACCGGTTGGGTTAATTTGCGGAAGACACATTTCAGTTGAACAACTGACTAGGTATCCCCCCTTTCTTTCTTTTTTTTTTCTAATTTAGGAAAGGGACGATTTTTTAGCAACAATTCAAGTGTTTTCTGTCAATGACGTTTGGCTTCTGATGTGATTGGTCTGAAGCCAAATCCAAACTGGCTTCCCTTGACACTTGTTTTTCGGGCACCAGGACCATTCACAGCTGAGCTCACTCAGTTTAGCTCAACGCTGATTGGCTATTATTTTATTAAAAATTTATTAAGGGAGGCCAAATGCTCACTGGCTTCCCTTGCATTCAATGCTACAGGTGGCAACAATGTCATACTCTTTTTGACCAGACAGCATCAGATAGATAAGCTACAAATACCGAGACAGAGGGGCACTGTTTCATTCGCTCGGATGCATTCTCCAGTGAGATACTGGATGTACATTCAGCCCTTTGTAAATTGAAGGAAATGTATGAAACGCAGCGAGACGAAAGATACATTATTTTGTATGTTCGTTGTTTGGCTTGCCTTTTTTGTCATTTTACTACTCTGACAGAATCGTCTCTATTTCTGCTCATGAGTGAATCATTCTTATTCAGCATGATGAGGTAGAGGGATGCTGCGACTGCTGTTGTTCCTCTGTAATATGCAACGTTGCTTTGTGTCTTTCATACCCAGCCATCTTGGTGTTGCTAAATTGGCCCAATCTGCCTAACAATCCTTGAAGTCTGTTGGTGATACATACTGTAACTGATACCATGATGCCCTGGCACCGATGTCACTGAAGAATGTCCACAGTGACCAGCCAAGTCCATTTCTATTTGATATAGACCTACAGCCCCTTACAATGGAGATACTTCCCTCTTTAAAACCTAGTGTATCATAAACAAATGGTTAAATGAATGGTAGAAGAAGGGTATTACAGGGGTAATAAGGTTCTGCAATTAAACATAAGGCCGATCTGAGAAGAAGTAGAGATTTGATATCCCATAGCCACCAGAGTAGTACTATGCAGGTACTTTTTTTCCAGCCATCTCAGAGCCTAGATATCTTTGATGTTGACAGCTCACTCTTAGAGCGACTAGCTCAGTTGTTGTAGGCGAAAGTCTCAGAGCTAGAAGTCCGATCACATTCATGCATGACCACCGCTAGTCCATTATGGCAGGCCATTTGTTTGCAGCCTATTTGTATGCAGGCTGGTGGATAGTACAGTGCCCCAGTCCTAATTGTCTCACAGTCTACTGAACCTGCACTCAACCACGCTCTGAAAAGGGCCAGAGAGCTCAAAGGGGAGTGTGGTTGTGGTTTGTTTCAAGTAACCTTTCAAATCCAAAATGGTTAAAAAAATAATAATAATAATAATCAGATTGAAGCACATCTTGCCATTAGGGTTCTCTTTACCACTTTAAGGGTGGGTCAGGAGTCTGGACCCAGTGCTGGAACTAGTCCTTGGGTCAACTAGCTATAAAGCCTGGTTTGTGGTTATAAACATGGCTCTGTCTATTTGGTGTGTAATAAAGTTCAAAAGGCTTTATGTGGGTGACTATGCAAAAAATAAAGTTTGTTGTGACAATAGAACTAGAAACAATGAGAATAGTTTCCTCCCGTCTTGCACCTCAAACCGTTGGCTGAGTTGATGGCAGTGAACACGAGTCTTGGTTGAACTAACACCAACGATGTTATGTCGATTGTAGCCTCACAGGAGGAAATGGACCAGGGAGTGCAGTGGAAAAGCCGAAGTGCACACTAAAAGAGAGGAAGTGTTGCACAACAGAAAGTGGTGTGTGTCTGTGGCCGCTGTGGCTCCCCATTTCTATCAGACTGCTGCAACGTTGCCCTCAAGAAAACCAGTCTGCAAGAGAATCACAAAGGGCTGCACTTGTGACTGACTAGCCACAGTTGGTGTCCAACAAATTCTCAACCTCTGGTAACATTGTATTCATGTGGCCGGTAGTGTTAAAAGTGTTCGGTAATCTATTGATCGGTGCGATGCATGGTCGATAAACAAGGTCCTAGAGGTTGGAAATGTTTGTTGTGGCCACGTGAATTGCTGGACCTGCTTACGTGATGATTGGACCAGAGGTAGGCCGAGAGGAATATCGAAAGTTGAATATTGTTCAGGTTAAGTTTTGTCGCCAAAAGGTTTTGACTTTGAAGGAACAAGAAAATGAGATGAAAGACTTTATTGTATCTGTTTTGAGAGGACGATATGACTTCACTCAGACTCATTTAACATGTGTTTTCAGAACCCGATCTCCGCTGGAGGACTGTGACCTTGGCCAACCGCCAGGCTGGGCCTCCTTCCTCCTGACTGACACCTCCAGAGAGCTTCTTCTGCTGGTTAGTATCAACACAAAGTTGCCCCTAGATGCTGATCTTGGGTCAGTTTAGCATTTTCAACACTAATGGTTAATATTAGAATTGGGGGAGGGGGAAGCTGATTCTACAGTAGTTCTGTGCCTAGGGGAAACTTCACCCCTGGAGCTATCAACACCTACTGCTGTCATGTTCTGACTCATCTAACCTGAGGTTTCAACTGCAAGACCACAGCAAAACATGCTATCTGCTACAAGGCCTTTCTATCTGTAAAACAATTTAGTGGAACTTCAGCAATAAGACAAGCATTGTCTTTTTAACTGAGGTCATTCTTAAGCATTGTTTTTCTCTCAATTTCAATTGTAATTTTTTCCTTCAAGTTCCTGTTGGGATTATTTGGAGCTAGAAGAATGCTTGCGTTTCACTTTTTCCCCATCAGGGTCACGATGTGTACACGGTTTGTGTAATGCTGGTATGGAAATGAAGTGCATTGTGGGCTGTGGAATGGGTCTGTGTAATGTGAGTGCCTCAACTTCCTGCTCTGTTCTCCAAGGCCGGGTGGCGGTGCTGCTTATCTAACTAGGGTCGTCACAGGGTCACCGGCGGTTGTCTGACCTCACAGAAGTGAAGCTGGCAGCCAAGACAGTCAAGTGTTTGAACGTGTTCTCGACTACAAACAAGAGCTTAGTCCAGGGGGCTTAGGTCTCAATGTTTTTCTGTCTGATTAATAGATACAGTTTGGCCGGGTTGATGTCTGAACATTTGTGATTAAACTGTTTATTTTTGTAATGCTAGTGTAGTCGATGTGAAATGGCTAGCTTGTTAGTGGTGTGCTCTAGTAGTGCTCAGTCGGTGACGTCACCTGCTCTGAGACCTTAAAGTAGTTGTTGCAGCTTTTGTAGTTATCGCGGCTTTTGTGGAGTGACAGATAACAATGCTTTGTGGGTGACAGTTGTCAATGTGTTCAAAGGGTCCCAGGTTCACTAGGTAACACTTTCACTAGGTCCCTGACCCCTTACACATTCAGTATTTTGTGCTGTTATATCAAAGGTAAGGTGTTCTTCTGTGGAAGCTTATGCGTCTGTTGTGTCTGAATCTGGCTGTATCCAGATGGAGGTTTTCACCGTTGTTTCCTGTAGCACCTCACCTACACAACAAGCCCTAACCTCATATAAGCCTAGAATCTTCCACAGCTACACAACAAGCCGTAACCATATCTAAGCCTAGAATCTTCCACAGCTCAGAGACACTGGTACAGTCAGCATTAGAAATGGGTATCTATGACTGAGTGACAACATCATTCCTTTCTCCTATATTTCCTGCTTGTGGCATTTTCCCACCCCTTTTTATATTTTCCCTACAGTCTCCTTGGAGTCCGTTACCATGGCGTGGTGGCTGAGCTGTCAATCTTGGGCCTAATCAGAGATGTCATAGCACACTGCTACATCACCTGCCCACCTCACCCACTCACCACAGCTTCCTAGCTGTTTGTCTGATACAGCTGCAGACAATCCAAGGCAAGCAGTCTAGGACTAAATAAGCCAATTTCATTTAATATGTTTTGTGTGGTGGGTCATTCTATGACGGCTTTAACCACCAGGAAAAACACTTTAAAAAAGTGTCAGATAATGACACTTATTTTTGTTTTAATTGATGTGTTTTATTGTTAATAAAACATATGTAAGACATTTATATTGCAAACCATTAAAAAATATATTTATACAGTATATTGTAGAACACGGTCAGTACCATGAAATTGTCTTGAGTCCTGGTTTAGTGACATATTTTGAGACGTGGTTTAGTGGCATATTTTGAGTACACATTTTTATTATGTCATAATGAAAACAAATATACTAAATATAAACAACTATTTACAGGAAATAGCTCAGCTGTCTTTCAATTCCATTTCACCGGTATTACCACACCATTTTCAAACCCAGAGGTGCAACATCGAAATACTTCCAGGAACGCTTGCGAAACAGACCAAACAGACGAGGCCGGGGTTTGGGGTTTGAGAAGTCAATGAGAGAAGTGAAAAATTCTTCCTTAGTTCTTATATTTCTCATAATCGAAAGGCACAACCTAGATTCGAGCCAATGTCTTAAGTAGTTGAACATGTTATTACTCCAACCTCGTGAAAGTGACAAACTGACACGTTTTCATTTTCGTCCAAAACAACTTTATATCAAAGGAGTGCCTTTGATTTGATGGCCTGCACATGCACAGTTTGGCGTGAGATGACTGTTAGACCCAATGACGTGTTTCTACGCATGAGCTAAGCAAGTCAACCTTCGCCATGACCTCACCTACAAGTGTGATCGGGGATTTCTATTAGAGAAGCAGTTTTCGTCTATCTTCAGTGGTGGAAAAAGTACCCAATTGTCATACTTGAGTAAAAGTAAAGATACCTTTTAATAGAAAATGACTCAACCAGTAAAATACTACTTGAGTAAAAGTTAAATATATAGTTTTAAATATACTTAAGTATCAAAAGTAAATGTAAATGCTAAAATATATTGAAGTATCAAAAGTAAAAGTAAAAATCATTTCAAATTCCTTATATTAAGCAAACCAGACGGCACAATTTTCGGCACAAGGCATTTGTGTTTAGTGAGTCCGCCAGATCAGAGGCAGTAGGGATGACCAGGGATGTTCTCTTGATAAGTGCATTGATTGGACCATTTGCCTATCCTGCTAAGCATTCAAAATGTAAGGAGTACTTTCGGGTGTCAGGGAAAATGTATGGAGTAAAAAGTACATTATTTTCTTTAGAAATGTAGTGGAGTAAAAGTTGTCAAATATAAATAGTAAAGAACAGATACCCCCAAAAACTACTTAAGTAGTACTTTAAAGTATTCTTACATAAGTACTTTACATCACTGCCTATCTTCATGCTGTCTTTGGACAAGTCTTGTGTTTGTAATGCAAGAGGAGGAGAGCCTTTCTCTCGTCAGAGATCGCATTTATTTTTTGAGATTGCAAAAAATGACCTTTTCATTCAAGACAGTAACAGCCAATGTGTATTTGGAATGGGTATATATAGGAATGGGTAATTGTTTACAAGTTGCTAAGGATCCCATAAAGCCATCACTGATAACCACATATTTTCATCTTCTTCTGTGGTTTGGTAACTTCCTGTTCTTTGACAGACTCTGGCTGGGCTGAAGAAGACACAAAGTTTGGAAAATTCTAAAGTGTGCGGCGTCTGTCGCGCAACGGAGCCTTCAAGGGGGCGTTGCTATTCCAGTCCATTGTGGCTGTCCCATTTGAAATGCATGACATCCGGCGCAACGTTACACCTCAATCAGACCGACAGTGTTTTGCGTCAACGCAGCTTAATAAATTCTGCAGTCACATTTTTTATTATGTAAACATTTTTAGTGGATATGTGTCCAACAAAAGTTCAACATTCACCTTTTGCTACTATTTCTGTCAGGTCTACACATACAATTTGATGCGTACATTGGATAAATCCAACAAATGCACCACACAGAACGCACTGCAAGCAATGCTGTAAGTTAAACGCAGCATTCCAATGGAAATTAATGTACTTCTGGTGTGCCAAAACGCAATAATGCTGTTGGTCTGATCGAGGTGTAAGAGGTGTTGTAACATAGCCTGAGGTAAAGATTTTTATTGCAGCGCTGGTAAAAAAAATAAAACTAGGCAATAGTGCCACCAGGTGGTGATGGAGAATATCAGGTATAACCTACATTTTAAAGATCTTGAGATATGATGGGTTGTGCATTTTAATAGTTTGTGCAAATAGGTTTATTAATATGTTTATTGTAGCTTTGCTTACTGCCTCCATGGTTTAGGCCTATTTTACATGCTGAGTGTAGTCCAGCACTCTCTGTCGATTACGGCTCTTTGGCCTTGGAATCTTATGGAAGCACTGTAGACAACACTACAACATAGCAAATATTTATTCAAAGCAGACTTGTGGATTGTTTTGATGAAGGAGATTTATAGATTTTTTTATTTGCTGAGAACAGTACCTGAAGGCGTTTTACCATGTAAAAATATAAATTACTTTTTTTTCTGCAAACAAATGGCCCCACATCCCCATGCATAGGCAATGGGAGATGATATGTCTGTCTGTCTGGTGGGTGATATGCAGAGGGGTTTGATGTGTCAGCCAAAGACCCTATTTTCTCCACTGACTGTTCTATTATTTATGTTCCTGTAGGGTTAACATGCTCTTTACGTCGGCAACCTCCGTTCCCCTGAGCATCACACCAGCTGCGCTCACTCTCTCTCTCTCTCTCGCTCTCTGTTTCTCTGCCTCTGCTCTCTGTCTATCTCTTCTGTTGATCTAGTAGACGTCTGTCTGTTTTGTAGGGCAGGCCATATAAATTACAATATCACTGTAAAAGTGCAACTGCCCAAATGAATGTTGCGTTCTTCCTGTTGCTCTCAAAATGGCACAAGGTGGCGCCCTAACCCAATTATTTGACACTAGTCCCCCTTAACCCTTGATGCAGTACATGGCAAGATGTTTGCTAATCTGAGGGGTTACTGCAATGTTTGAGAGCTGAGGAGATGTCCCTATTTTAGAGGATGGGCTGCAGCATGCATGACAAGATGTCAAACATTCTGTGCTCTCCAAGGCTTTGAGACCCAACTCAGTTGGTAGAGCATGGCGCTTGCAACACCAGGCTTGTGGGTTCAATTCCCGCTGGGGCCATCCATATGAAAATGTATGCATGCAAGTTATGCTAATTAATCCAAAGTGGTTTTAGTAGAAAGATACTCCACATTATGCATGTAAATGCTATGGCAACATTTCAATGTCAAGGTTGATGCATGTGTAATTATGATTTTGGAATGTTTTAATTTGATATATGGTTAGCTTAGTCCAGGGGGAAATTAAACTGTAGACCCAAATATGTGGGAAATGAAGACAGCTGTTAAAGGACATTGATTGAGATATTTATCTTAGTTTGTTGCGGTACCTAAAGGATTTGTAGCTGAAGCTGGCATGTGTAATACCACTAGCATGGTTCAGAGTTTGGGAGTGGTCGCTCTTCCTCCTCAAGGTCTTCTATATACTTCTGTCCATCACCTCCAGAGGGCGCTCAATGCATTCTAAATAGAGATACCAGTACGTCTGTACCGATATCCGTCATCTCCACAAACCTCAGCAAGCTCCACTGTGCCCCACCTTTAATCTTGTGAGGGTTAAAAAAAAGTAACATACTGAATCTATGTTACTTAAATGTGCAGTGTACTGTATGTGCTTTTCATAAAAAAATGTAATACACTGTCTCCAAGAGATGCTGATATATAGGCCTATATTCTACCGCCTATAGAGTGTGATACAGTATGACTCAGACACAGTCAAAAGGTAATTTGTGTAGTGTTAGTTTGGGGCTGTTTGCAGGGGGGTAGAAAGACGTGACAAGGGATTGAGCTGGGGAGCTGCCTGCGACATGTGACCTACGACATGCAGCCTGTGCCCCCCTTCACCCCCACCCCTCACTAACTACCACTCCACAGGCAAGAGTTGGAGAAGGATTCAAGGTCAGGGTGGAGGATTTGGGGCTGTGGGGAAGTGCTGCTCTCTGCCCAATTACACCCTATGTTATAGCTGTCTGCTTGGATAGGTCATAGAAAGAGAAATTGGTGTGCTCAGCTCAAATGTTTGTAGTAACAAAAAGTATTTGGGTGCCGGGTTCAAAAGGCATATACTTGAACAAAGGAAAAACCCATGACTCACATCAACACCATCATCCCGGAAACCCTAGACCCACTCCAATTCGCATACCGCCCTAACAGATCCACAGATGACGCAATCTCAATTGCACTCCACACTGCCCTTTCCCACCTGGACAAAAGCAACACCTATGTGAGAATGCTGTTCATTGACTACAGCTCAGCGTTCAACACCATAGTGCCCACAAAGCTCATCACTAAGCTAAGGACCCTGGGAATAAACACCTCCCTCTGCAACTGGATCCTGGACTTCCTGACGGGCCACCCCCAGGTGGTAAGGGTAGGCAACAACACATCTGCCACGCTGATCCTCAACACTGGGGCCCTTCAGGGGTGCATGCTTAGTCCCCTCCTGTACTCCCTGTTCACCCACGACTGCGTGGCCAAGCACCACTCCAACACCATCATTAAGTTTGCTGACGACACAACAGTGGGACAGCCTATAGGGAGGAGGTCAGAGACCTGGCAGTGTGGTGCCAGGGAAACAACCTCTCCCTCAATGTGAGCAAGACAAAGGAGCTGATCGTGGACTACAGGAAAAGTGGGCCGAACAGGCCCCCATTAACATCGACGGGGCTGTAGTGGACATAAAAACTATGAAATAACACATATGGAATCATGTAGTAACCAAAAAAGTGTTAAACAAATAAAAATATATTTTATATTTGAGATTCTTCAAAGTAGCCACCCTTTGCCTTGGTGACAGCTTTGCACACTCTTGGCATTCTCTCAACCAGCTTCACCTGGAATGCTTTTCCAACAGTCTCGAAGGAGTTCCCACATATGCTGAGCACTTGTTGGCTGCTTTTCCTTCACTCTGTGGTCCGACTCATCCCAAACCATCTCAATTTGGTTGAGGTCAGGGAATTGTGGAGGCCAGGTCATAGTCCCACTAAGCCCAAACCAGATGGGATGGCGTATCGCTGCAGAATGCTGTGGTAGACATGCTGGTTAAGTGTGCCTTGAATTCTAAATAAATCACAAACAGTGTCACCAGCAAAGCACCCCCACACCATAACACCTCCTCCTCCATGCTTTACGGTGGGAAATATACATGCGGAGATCATCCGTTCACCCACACCGCGTCTCACAAAGCCACGTGGTTGGAACCTAAAATCTCAAATTTGGACTCCAGACCAAAGGACATATTTCCACTGGTCTAATGTCCATTGCTCGTGTTTCTTGGCCCAAGCAAGTCTCTTCTTATTATTATTGGTGTCCTTTAGTAGCAATTCGACCATGAAGGCCTGATTCACGCAGTCTCCTCTGAACAGTTGATGTTGAGATGTGTCTGTTACTTGAACTCTGTGAAGCGTTTATTTGGGCTGCAATTTCTGAGGCTGGTAACTCTAATGAACTTATCTTCTGCAGCAGAGGTAACTCTGGGTCTTCCATTCCTGTTGCAGTCCTCATGAGAGCCAGTTTCATCATAGTGCTTGATGGTTTTTGCGACTGCACTTGAAGAAACTTTCAAAGTTCTTGAAATTTTCAGGTTTGTCTGACCTTCATGTCTTAAAGTAATGACGGACTGTCCTTTCTCTTTGCTTATTTGAGCTGTTCTTGCCATAATATGGACTTGGTCTTTTACTAAATAGGGCTATCTTCTGTATACCCCCTGTACCTAGTCACAACACAACTGATTGTCTCAAACGCATTAAGAAGGAAAGAAATTCCACAAATTAACTTTTAAGAAGACACACCTGTTATTTGAAATGCATTCCAGGTGACTACCTCATGAAGCTGGTTGAGAGAATGCCAAGAGTATGCAATGCTGGCATCAAGGCAAAGAGTGGCTATTTGTAGAATCCCAAATATAAAGTATATTTAGATTTGGTTACTACATGATTCCATATGTGTTATTTCATAGTTTTTATGTTTTCACTATTCTACAATGTAGAAAATAGTAAAAATAAAGAAAAACCCTTGAATGAGTAGGTGTTCTAAAACTTTTGACCGGTAGTGTATATTATTTACATTCATTATTTACATAAAATGTTCTACTATTTTCCACAAGAGCTTCAAAATAAAAATAAACAAAGAAATGCGCACCTGTTGTTGCTCACAGGAAGCAACCTAACAGAAGTTCTTCATTCAGGCCTCTAGGGCTCTCTGTAAGGAAGGCATGGATATAAAATGCCTCTCTCTGTAACAGCAACTTTTCTCTATCACCTCCTCTCTTAAGTGGCAGTACAACAACTAAGCCCTGGAACCTCAGTTGGCTCACATCATGTCCCCACATTAAAGTGTCTGGCTACAGGAGCCTTCTCGTCACTAGTTCTCATGTTGCTCGTGGGAAAAAAATCGTAAAGAATATTTCTGTCAGTGCAGGTTTTTTCTTTCTTCATGCATGGAGAGGTCACCAGGTCTTATCCACAGCACTGCAGTGATCCCCAGGTTGTTCTGTCTTTATGGACTGTACTACCTCAACCACTCTGAGAGAGTTAAAGGGGCAATCTGGGATTGGTACATACATTTTTTGACTTTTGAATTAATGATATAGGTGTAGCCATTGCTTCTTGAAGAATAGGGCCATAACTGTTTACCAAAAAAGTGCCGGGGTGCCACTTGGTTGTTGTTTGAATCCCAGATTGCCGCTTTAATTACATATTTATTACATAAACATTTGATAATTAGGTTTATTACACGATATCAAGTCAAGTGTACAATGGGCTACAGTTTTTAGATAATCCTTTTGGAGAGTAGCTCATTTGAAATGATTCTGTTGGTCTCTTTTATGATGGTGAGGCATCAGTATCTCTCATCACTGACGGTGTGTGCTTGATGAGGAAATATGTATTGATGAAACTGATGAAAATGTGTTCGTTTCAAAAGCCCTTTCTCTGTCCTCTGTATCAATAGAGCCCTGTTCTAATGTGTGTGTGTGTGTGTGTTCCCAACAATGCAGAGTTAAAAAGTAAGACAATTGTTTTAGTATAGTTGTGACAACCAGAAGTCCTCACAACAATGGTCAACCAAGGAAAATTCAGAGAAGTGAGGCTATTTGGCTGGTCCTCACTTCTAAAAAGGCTATTTTAGGGTTAGGAGTAAAAGTTCGTTTTAGGGTTAGGAGTTAAGGTTAGGGCTAAGATTACGGTAAAAAGTCCTCACAAGTATAGTAATACAAAGTTGTGTGAGCGCGTGTGTGTGTGAGCGCGCGTGTGTTTGTGTGTGTGTGTGTGTTTGTGTGTGTGTTGTGTGTGTGTGTGTGTGTGTGTGTGTGTGTGTAGCTGACTGTAGTGGATTCCATGGTTTCTGGCTTTGATCAGGTGCAGTCCATAGAGTAGGGCTTAGCTGAATCTCCTGGTTTCATCCCCCCAGTTTTCTCTCTGTGATTTCTGCTGCTTTGGTTGGTTGCTTTGGATTTCAAAGGTTTATTTTTATCTTCAAATATGCAGTTTTTTTTTTTGATGAATTGTAGTTTGCCTCAATAATCTGATGAGTGTTGAATTGTAAAAGTAGTAGGCTACATTGTGATGCAAAACGGGAGATAAAACGTGTGCATTGACTGCAGTAATGCTCCTCGTGGGGAGGTGCTGCATGCCAGCCCCATTTTGGGAAGTGCTCCCCCATTTTCTGCCTGTCATTTCGGACCGGGCCTGGCCGACTGGGCTAATGCGATGTGGCTTGTCACCCGGAGAATCTAGGTCAAGTTTAAAGCTGCCTCCCTCTCTACTGCATCAACCCCCCCCCCCCACACACAAAATACACCCCCACATATTATAGTCACATATTGTAGACACACAGCATACATCCTTATCTAAATACACATTTTTAGCATTTCAATCAAATATACGCACTTATACATTTGTACGCACACACACAAACTCTCTCCCCATCCACCCTCGAAGCCCCAACGTGAGTTCACAGCCTCTCCACGGAAGTCTGGGGAGGGAGGGAGGGCGTTGTTTTTCCCAATGGCTGGGCATCACTGCCGTAGTAAGAATGGGTTGGCACATGGATCCTCACGCTGCTGCAGAAAGAGGGAATAGTGTAGTAGTGGAATGTCAGCACGATCATCCCCCTGCAGCCCTGAGCTGTTTTTCTTGGACTTTGCTACAGACCCGGAGCCTCAAGCCCAGGAGTGTTTTGGGGCGTTTCCACTGTGGGTGGTGTGTGTCTGTGTGACTAGGAATGACATCCCGGGGTCACCATGTTCAATGGGCGTGGCACTGAATATTAGGGTCTTCAGGGCTGATGCCGAGATCTCATCACTCATCATGTTGTTGTTCCTCCACTGTTTCATTCTCCTAGGCTGTGCCAGTCCGCTCTCAAATAAGAAAAAATAAGAAATATATTTTGCATACAGGAATATTGTCAGAATGAATATTTGTCATTTAGATGTATTAATTTTTTTGAACATGACAGCTATTTGGCCAAAACCAAGTTGCATTTTGCTTTAGGGAAATGATTCACTTAATGCTGGATGCTGGAAAAAACATTCCTTCACTGCCTGTTCACCAGTTCCCCTCGCTCCCCTCCTAATCCACCGTTTTTTGGCGCATTACCTCATCTGTATTAATATATTCATGTACTTTCAAGTCTTACTACTACTGTACCATCTCTCTCCAAGCTCGCCTCTGATTGGCTGCCCGCTTGTTTTTAACGGCACCAGCTTTTTTTGAGTCCATGGATACAGCGCATGGTTGGGCAGTATGGCTTAGCCAATTGGAGAGCGTCGTTGGGCATGCGGTTGTAAAGCAGTGCTGCCTGGCCCTCTCTGAGAGCACGTGATCACCCAGTGAGGGTGTCCAAAACAAAAACAACTACACCCTGTCCACGGGGCCGCGGCTCCCACTGACACATCAGAACCTCCAATACCAAGGAAGGGGCGCAAAACCACCCCCCTCCTGTCTCTTCTCTTGCATTCCTCCACTCTCAGCACTTTGAATATTCCACTCCTCTTCATCTCACACCCCCATGATTTAGAGCAATGGATCATTACCATGAACCTTTACCATAACCATTTCCCATTTATCACTGGTGCATACACTTTGGCTCAAAATATAAACATTTTCATTTTCAATGTACGAGTAGAAGTTTGATATATAGCCTTTTTAGTTAGCATTAATAGGTTTAGCTTTTAATTAGGTTTGAATGAGAACCTGGGGGTCTGTAATTAAACCGTTTAAACCTGTCCTCATTTCATCTCTCATTAGGTTTTCCATAAGCTGGAGGATCTTCTCTTGGACTTTGAAATGCGAAGCCGAAGCCACCACAAATCCCCGTCCTTAAAATGACCTCATTGTAGACTGGGCGAGAGCGATGGAGCTGTGGGCCTTTGATGCTGGGTGCCTGGTGCTGCCCATGTTTAGCTCTCTGAGCCTGGTAGTGGCACAATGCCTCATACTACTCCGCTCAGTCACTCTGCCTCTCTGATAGGGGGCAGTAGAGGACTAGGGGAGAAGCATTGGGAAGGCCTATTCATTCAACAACATGGTGACGTGACTTCACCCCTTCCCCTCCATATGAGGATAATCAACGAGGTGCTCCTGACGACCGGGTGCTTTCGCTCTCCGAGGCTGATGTGAGGAAAACTCTCAAAAGATTGAATACCAGCTGACCAGCTGGTGGGCGTCTTTTCGGACATCTTCAACTGGTCTCTGTAGACCCCACCTGCTTTAAGGAAACCACCATCGTCCCAGTGCCCAAGAAAAACCAGGTGACATGCCCAAATGACTATCGCCCTGTTGCACTCACCTCGGTCATCATGAGGTGCTTGGAGAGGCTGGTCGTGACCCACATCAAGGCCAGCATACCAGGCACGCTGGACCCACTCCATTCTGCCTACCGCTCCAACAGATCCACAGAAGATGCCATTTCCATCACGATACACACGGCCGTAACACATCTGGACAAGAGGAACACCTATGTGAGAATGCTGTTCATTGACTACAGTTCAGCATTGAGGTGCATGAGGTCTGATACCAACAGGCTCAGAGACAGTTTCTATCTACAAGCAATCAGATTGCTGAACATTTGAACTGGACTGACCACCTGCTCTGATTCTCCGTACCTTAGCATAAATCACAACTGCTGCTACCAGACTCTTATTGTAATGCTAAATTTATACACTTGCCTGCCATCCCTCCCACTCCCCAATTCACATGTAAATATTATACTATAAATTGTGGATTCCTGTATTATACTTATGCTAAAATATTTATTATATTCTACTGTCATTTACTTTGTTTGTATTATTTTTTACTATTTCTTATTGTTGTTGCATTGTCGAGAAGTAACCTTCAAGTAAGCATTTCGTTGGACGAAGTATACCATGTGTATCCCGGACATACGACTAATAAAACTTTTCCGCCCTTCTTTTCCCTTCTAGCGCTGTCATCTCTCCTGTCTGTCCGCTACCTGTCTGGCTACCACCAGTATAAGGGAGTAGGAAGGTAGCCAGTGAGGTGTCTGGGTGTAGCAGCTGCATTCAGGTCATGTTAGTGGAGACTGTTCTGAAAGAGCCAGGCATGGCAGGAGGCAGGTGGCAGGAGGCAGGTGGGTGTGCCCCAGATGGGCAGTGGGTCACATGGAAACTGGGTCAGTGAGTGCAGGGAGAGGGAGAGATCATTAATGAAAGTTGCAGGGAGTACTAGTGTACAGGCAAAGACAATGTGTCCTCGATGCCTCCTTCAAATGATTACACCAAGACTTGTTTAAAAGGATAATACTTGTATTTATTCATCATGACTTATTCAACCACAAGAAGGAAAAATGTAGTGACTAGCCAATAGCTTTATCTTGTCTCTAGTCATCACTTTGTCAATTACCTTGCTTCTGCACTCATTCACTGGAAATTATTTTCTACTTGTCACTGAGCTTCACTCTGTCACTAAGCTTTACCTTGACTTTAACCTTAATCAGCCTACTCAGGTTTACCAGTACTCACTCAGCCACTGAGTTTGTTTTAACCTGCCACCAGAAATCAGAGTATTTACCCTGTCACCAAGATTGAATCTCTCAGCCATCTCCACCTGTCACAAGGTGTCTTCAGTCTAGCTCAGTGTCACTACTAGCCAGCAACAGCACTTAAATGTCCAAGAAAATGTACCTTCAGGGACAATCAAGTTTTTCTTATCTTCTCTCTACCTCGGATCCAATGCCATTTCCTGATCCAATGCCATTTCCTGATCCAATGCCATTTCCTGATCCAATGCCATTTGACCTTTGTCTCTCAGTACAGTACAAACCCAACAGGCCTCTGTGCTTTATAGTTGTGGAGAGAAGGTGTTGTCTTGCCAGGCTGTCACTCCTGATTACATAACACACAACTCCAGACAGGGAGTCAGAATGACCGATATCCCACTGGCTGCCTGGCGCGTGGCTCTCTGTCAGCCTACGGCGGAGGAGGAGGTATGGGTGTAACACTACCTATAGGAGTAGTCATAATGCTGTAGGACCACTCGTAGACCCGTATTCACAAAGCATCTAAGAGTAGGTGTGCTGATCTAAGATCAGTTGTTTTTTTTTGGGGGGGGGGCCTGATCCTAGATCAGCACTCCTACACTGAGATGCTTTTTAAATATCGCCAATAGACTACAGTCATAAAAGGACCAGTCAAAATACTGTAGGGGCAATCATAGACTTCTATAGCTCCTGAGTCTGGGCAGTGTGAATGCTCCAGTTTGTCCAATTCTGCAGAACTGTACATGCTTGTCTGTTCCGTATTTTCCGTATTTATTATATTTCCTCAACGTGGCTTTCTAGGGAATGACTCAGTGCTGTGACAGACAGTCTAAGTGCACCTCGGGACTGGAAGGTTCTCTGTTGTACAGTAGCGCGTACAGAATGTGTGGTCCTGTACCATACTCCATTCTGTCCTCAATTTGAGTCATTGGCTAGGAATGAACTTTCACGACATGCTTTGGAATAAGCTCTGCCCTGTCAGTATTAGGAACATCCATAGGGTGGGTGTGTGGGCGCGCACGCATATGTGTGTATGTGCGTCTGCGCACACACACACGCGCACACACACACACACGCACGCACAAACACACAAAACATGGGAGCCTCTTAACCGACAGTGCCGACAGCAGGGGTTCCCTCTGCTCGGTTTGGGGGTTGGTTTCACCGTTTTTTCCCAGGTACTACTGGGTGAATCTGTGGGCCTTATATTGACACTAACGAGAGGGGCTGGGTGAGGCAAGGGAAGGATAGGGGGCTTTGTTCTCACACTACTACATCTGAGGTGAGATTATCTCTCCTCCCCACACACCCCTCTGCCGTCCTTTTCTGGGAATCAACTGCCTCGCTTACAGGAAATCTGACTGGTTGAAAACAACCAGAGATGGAAATTCACTGTGTTTGAAGCAGTGTTTTTTGTTCATGTGGCATTCACAAACAGTACAAGTTCCTAAACGTCTCACTTTTGCACCGGGAATCAGATCATGATCATCAGATCAAGTCATTTGGTATTGTGAGGACAGTCATTGGTCAGGATCTGAACTCTGAACCCTGCTAGGTTCACATCTGAATTGTTGTACAGGGTATGTGTCACATAACAAAGAAGCTAATTTAAGACTGCTTATAACGGCTGTTAGTATACGCTAAATGTAAATGCTTATCTGCAGGGAATTGAGCAAAGCGGAGAAGTCACACTCAGTTGAACTTGGTCTCCGAGGCAGAGTGATTCCCGTAAATTGTCCCCTATTTTAGGTGGGCTTTTTGGGGACATCTGGTGGGCCAGGGTTCGGTACAGGAAAACCACACAGTGCCCATGGGGGCACATATGAGGAACCAGGGTTGACTAGCCCCTCAATACCACAACACGTACTACTTCCCACTACTAACAAACCCATGTATTTTGTGTACTTGCCTCCACTCATGTTAAACAATATTGTTGTGTTTTCTCCTTTTGTCTCAACAGGTATCGTAACATGGGGAACCTACTGAAAGTCCTGACTTGCACAGATCTGGAACAGGAGCCCAATTTTTTCCTCGATTTTGAAAGTATGTTTTTGGGGGGAGGGCTTATTTATTACAATCCCTATCTACACACTTGAACTTCCAATCATACTTATTTTAGCGGTCCCCCGTCTTACCTCTCCTCACCCCCAGAGGCTACAGAACCTAATCTATTTCCCATTTGCATCATCAGCTCTTCTCTTAGCCATGCTGTTGCCGTAGGATTGGATGTTCCGAACATAATATTACATTAGAATCTACCTTCCACAACATTGAATTTCTGGATTGGAGTAACAATTAGAAAGGAGATGTAGCCTAGGCCTACTAGCCTATAGCCTCTTCACTTATATCTGTAGACTCCCTCCCAGACATAGAAATACCCACTTGATTGTCTTCCTGTGTCCACTAGATGCCCAGCCCACGGACGCAGAACGAGAGGTGTGGGAGAAGGTGGACCTGGTGCTGAAGGACGCTAGAGGAATCCTGGACGAACTGCAAGCATACAAGGGAGCGGGTGAAGAGATCAGAGAGGTCAAATACTAAAAGCATCACCAAACCTTCATTCATACAAGGGAGTGGGCCAGGAGATCAGGGTGTTTCAGAGTAGGATCTAGGATCAGATCCTGCCCATGTCCATGTAATTGTAGCCATTGTGATCTAAAAGGCCAAACTGATCCTAAATCAGCAGTCCTACTCTGAGACGCTTGATACATACGGCCCCAGAAGGTGATTAAACTACTAACTAGATAAACTACTAACTCGGGATTAAACTAGATACTAACTAACTTCAGACTTTATTCAGCATCTTGTCTTTCCTGTCCCCCAGGCGATCCAGAACCCCAGCGACGATGCGTTACAGGAGGCAGCGTGGACGGCCGTGGTACCCCTTGGTGGGGAAACTCAAGAAGTTCTACCAGTTCTCCCAGAGATTAGGTACGTACTTGGGGCCTGATTTTTAGGATCAGTTTCGCCTTTTAAGATCACAATTAATAAAGATGACATGGACAGGGCGACCTGGTCCTATATCAGATCTCCTAGATGCTTGATACATACAGCCCCTGTCCTGAGCGTCAGGTTAGTGTCAGATATGTAGCCCTACAAAACAACACCAACACCAACACCTGCCTGAGACTAGTGATGTGTCCTTCAGAGTTTGTGTAAAAGGTCAGATACACGCCTGTACCAGGGGTTCACTAGCTACAGCTTCTCTAGTGGTTATATGTAAGATACACGCACTCCTCTCATGACCTTAACCATCTGCATGCGCAATCACATCAGCGATATCGGCTGCTGAGCTGCAGAAATGTACATGCATAACCACACACACACACACAAACATGCACAGTGCACACACTCCTAGCCATCATCAACGTGACGCTTGCTTGCGTTGCACTCCAGCTAGATGTGATACCCAGAGCTGAGGACTCCTTATTACCTTGGAGACAGAGAGAGGGGGGATGCTAGCCTAGTGCTGCCTGCTTACCGGTGACCAGCAGTCCGTCCCTGACCGCTTCGCTGACCTTAACCCCTTAATCCCAGTGACGGCTGGCTGAGACTGCAGTCAGTCAATGAACACAGTGGGCACCAGCCCACCAAGGCTGTGTTGTGTGGGTCTGTGTCTGTGTTATATAATGAAGTAGGTCGTCTCCCTATCCCCCTCCTGCCCACGCATCCGTCCGTCCGCTCCACTGCTCTGACTCCGGGGGCCACCTTCGCCTCAGCTGCCTCCTGCCTGACATGCGAGACGCTCGCCGACCTTTTCCGCAGACTGCCTCCGCTGCAGACAGACAGAGAGGATGGCTGCTGGCTGAGAGATGGCTTATAGACCTCTCTGTGTTGATGTTTTTCCGAACATTAGTATTAATATTATTAATTAATTAATTAATATGCCATTTAGCAGACGCTTTTATCCAAAGCGACTTACAGTCATGCATGCATACATTTTTGTGTATGGGTGGTCCCGGGGCTCGAACCCACTACCTTGGCGTTTCAAGCGCCGTGCTCTACCAGTTGAGCTACAGAGGACCATTAGAAACCACCTTCCACAATATTGTAACTGTGTCACTCCTCATTTGGGTTTAAGCACTTTAAGTAATGCAAGATGTAGCTTAATTAAATGTTAAGCTTCCACCAATAGAAGTGTTCAGGACAGGAGTCCATTGACAGCAGGGTTGGAGTGAATACCTGCCAACCCTCTGACCCTCCCACCCATCCCCTCCTGATCCCCTCCTCTCCCAATGTGAACAGAGCTGAGCAGCGCCTGCCTAGTCCACGTACCCACATTCCGCTCGCCTGCTCTGCCGTGACCTGATGGGCTCAGACGTTCCCCCCGCCATTCTCCTCCTCCCCTTCCAGACTCTAGACAGATACGAGGCCTAAAAGCAGCCCCATCTCAACTTCTGTTTTGACTAGGGAGAAAAAAAGTGCATCACTAAGGCCATTTTTAATCAGCCCTCATCCTCCTCGCTGCAGTAGAAGCAATACGTTGTCCTAAGCAGATGGGGGTCATTACAGAATAGCCAACGTGCTCAATTTACTCACTGCCAGCTCGCAGTCTGCCTCCGAAAAACCTCTGTCTGCGGATCTGTGTGTCTATCTTAAGAGAGCATCATGGCTAAAGGTCTTCATTTGTTTTTGTCTGGTTTATAGCAGTGTGTATTATGTCCCTGTGTTCTACTGTAAGTGGTAATAGTTTTAAATAGATACTCAGTCACGATTATGTGCAGCCAGGTGGAAGTTAGTGTTATTGTGCAACCAGATTACACTGTGTGTGTGTGTGTGTGTGTCTGTGTGTGCTTGGGTCATCCGTGTTATATCATTATATTAAATCTAGTTGTCTTAGTGAGTCTAGACTGTGAATGCTTCTTCAGTTTCTGACTGCAACCACATTTTCCCTCATGGATGGTTTTGCCATTGTTTATTTATGGTGAGCATGTTGGTGCTTTCGTTGTCTTGAGACATGGAAATGCAAACAGAAAAGCATTTGGGTATCTACTGCATTAGCTCACTCACTGCCTTTATAGAAAGTCAATGTTGGGAAATGCACAGCTGGCCAGGATACTAGTGGGGGAGTGATATATTTTCCATTACCTAGCTTTTGACTACAGAGCTGTGTGGTTTTCCCCATTTAAAGCCATGTAAAGTCTTCGTATTTACCTACTGTCAAAACAATGGCAGTAAGCCTGGATGAATGGAGCACCCCCCACATATCTCATTACAATGAGATAATTAGTCTCATCTCCATCTGTTTAGGTGATTTTCCCATCTCCCTCCCCCACCCTAAGAGACAGCTCTTCCCTAGACCCCCCTCCCCATCCCACCCCACCCCCACACTGTCATAGGGCCCTCGGCAGTGGGCACCATCACCACTCAATCGCATGTCCCTGTTTTGTACAGCTACCCCCATCAGGGCAATTCTATTTGGCACACATTATGTACTTTACGATCGTTCCGTTTATTCGGCAGATATTGAGCTTATCATTCAACTCACAAACAATCCACAATTGTATATTTTCTTCCTCCCTCCTCATCTCTGACACCCTCTCCTTGTCCCTGTCTTACAGAGGCAGGACATTCTAGTTGGCATTTGATATCATGATGTACTTCATGATTATTACGTTTATTAGGCAGATATTTAGCTAATCAGTCACAGCACACAACAGTCTCTAACACCATCTCCTTGTCCCTGTGTTACAGAGGCGGCGCTGCACAGCCTACTGGGAGCCCTGACCAGCGAGACATATAACGACCCCACGCAGAACCTGGAGCGCGAGCAGGCGCTGGCCAAGCAGTTTGCCGAGATCCTACACTTCACACTGCGCTTCGACGAGCTCAAAGTACGTCCCGTGACATCCCTGGCCGCCATTTCCTCAATTTAGCCCAGAGTCCCCACCGTTCTCTCATTTCATCCGACCCTTGATGTGATCCTAAGCTATAGCTTTGTGTGGTGCTGTTGTTGGCATGGTTACGTTGTTATTATGTACATGGTGTACCTATTCCTTCTGATAACGTGCGAGCTAACTCTCGTTGGCATGACGAGGTGTTAATACCTATATTTAGGTGTTAGTGCTGTACACCATTAAGCCTCAGCCAATTAACAGATGATACAACTTGGATCCTTATTTTTTATCACCAGCATTTCTGGGGCCGCAATTGTTTTTGCAATAATTTCCACAAATGTGGGGTTGACCCAACTGCAGTTCCCCCCTGACTTTGAATACCACTGGTATACACGCGGCTGGAATGAATGAACAATGAGGTTGTGGATCAGGAAGACGAATAGGATAGTGTAGTAGGCTGGTGCTTTTTGTTTGCATGCCAACTGGCACCATATGCCCTATGTAGTGCACTACTTTTGACCAGGGCCAATAGGATTCTGGTCAAAAGTAATGCACTATAAAGGGAATAGGGTGCCATTTGGGACGCATTGCTTGGCTAGGGCTCCCATCTTCAACACACAGAGACATGGTTTACAGTTGATCCCGGGTAAGAAACCCACAGATTGCCTTTTTTGTCTGAGTCACAGACAACTCCTCCACTTACCATAAATCGCCTGGCCAAGTAGTCAGGGAGTCCCTAATATATACGGACGTCAGAAACAATCAAATGAGCTCTCATCTGGCTCGCAAGGCGTCAGAGTGAAATGTACACACACACACACACACACTCCTACTCAAACCAGCACCCTGACACCCCCAGGCATTCCGTCACGACGCACCAATTAACCAGCCCTCCTGCCCGGCACCCCCATACCCTGCATGGGCACTAAAAGCGTGAAAGTAGGGGGGTTCAAGGTGTCATGCCAGACACCATTCATACATTTTTCACTCCCCATACGCCGACGACGGGCATTAACCTAGTTAGAACATCCATTCACCCGCCTGCCGTGTTTTTAAAGCCACTCACTGGTGAAATAGGCTGGCCTGGCACTAGCCGCTAGCACTGACCGTCTAGCTGTAGCTAAGTGGACACAGACTGGGTACCAGTCTATTGTGGTGGGATTACCCAGCTGCTCGTGCCGGCCAGGCGTTAATACACGAAGGGGCTAATAGCGTGTCGCTAGGGGTAATTGGGGAGGCGTCTCAGGACATTGGAGGAGCAGGAGGTTAATGTGCCGGACGGGGCCCACTGATTGGCCAGTGGCTTATTGAAGGTAAGCTCCGCTCAAGGCAAGGTCTAATGATCCTCTTTGCGGAAGGAAGCAGGGAAGCCGCGCTTCTTTGTTCGCATCGATTGCCTCTAGAGATTTAAGATGGAGTGTGCTTACTCTGCAAAGTAAGCTTTGAGGTTGTGTTGCCAAATCACAGAACTTCACCGATGTTCTATAGCTAATCACATGGGGGTGCTAGCTACCCCTTCCCTCCCCCCTAAATCAGAGAGTGTCACCACATGTCCTGACCTGTGACCTCTGACCACTAGTAGCCCCTCATCATCCTTAGTGTTGTTGACGCTTCTGTCACACTGCCAAACATAATGAGCCACTGCAGCTCTGCTAAAGGGAACTAACAAGTATTTCATGAATTGACAGTTGAAAATAAATGCATCCTATTATAAAGGACAAGCGAGGAAATATGGATATAAATAAATAGAAGATTAAATCTTATCGATGTCTTTTTTTCATTCTATCTCCGCCCCCAGCAATGTATCTGCCTTGTATGCTAAAACATCCTGTCATGATGATGGAGTATTTCAGAGAGCTGGATGTCTGCTGCCGCATGCTGTGTGTTGCAGACACACACACGAACGCACACAGCCATATGCATGCACACACACACACACGCACGCACACAGCCATATGCATGCACACACACAAGAACACACAGAACGTGCCAAGTCCTGAGAGTTTTCTGTTTGTAATGTACATGTTAATCCATGTGTTGCAGATGACTAATCCTGCCATCCAGAATGACTTCAGCTACTACAGGAGAACGTTGAGCCGCATGCGGATCAACAATACACCGGTGAGCTGACTACTGACCTCTTTAATCTGAGGGGCTGATGGTCCTTTCCCCCTGAGGCTACAGCCACAGACATTTTGCGTCCGAAAATTACGGATTAAGTCAATGGTTTTTCAATGGCAGTCATCCGCTGCACTGACAGATGGACGAAGATGATTGTCCGTCAAAAAATGCACAATATGTCAGCCTTTGGGCGTATGCAACTCGTCTGAAAATAGTTTACTTGAGCCACTGGGGACTCAAAGGGGGTTTGAGGCGCTCACTGGAGCACAGGGGGCGGTATTATTCAGATGAGATGTATTCTTGCGATAGCATGGCAGGCGTTTAAAGGACAATTCAGCCTCCTATCTCCACACAGCCATGCTTCAAAATGACAGCCGGTGTACCTTTTTCAATGGCACCAAGGACATCTGAGAAAGGTCTGAATTTTTTACTTTAGTGAATAAAGTGAACGGAATCTGCCCGTGTTCATCTCGTCTGGATTTTTATCTATACTGAACAAAAATAGAAATGCAACATGTAAAGTGTTGGTCCCATGTTTCATGCGCTGAAATAAAAGATCCCAGAAATGTTCCATATGCACAAAAAGCTTATTTCTCTCAAATGTTGTGCACACATTTGTTTACATCCCTGTTAGTGAGCATTTCTCATTTGCCAAGATAATCCATCCACCTGACAGGTGTGGCATATCAAGAAGCTGATTAAACAGCATGATCATTACACAGGTGCACCTTGTGCTGGGGACAATAAAAAGCCACTCTAAAATGTGCAGTTTTGTCACACAACACAATGACAGATGTCTTAAATTGAGGGAGTGTGCAATTGTCATGCTGACTGCAGGAATGTCCACCAGAGCTGTTGCCTCCAACGTTGTTTTAGAGAATTTGGCAGTACGTCCAACCAGCCTCACAACCGCAGACCACGTGTAACCACGCCAGCCCAGGACCTCCACATCTCGACTGCTGATGAAACTGAGATGTATTTCTGTCTGTAATAAAGCCCTTTTGTGGAGAAAAACTCCTTCTGATTGGCTGGGCCTGGCTCCCCAGTGGGTGGGCCTGGCTCCCAAGTGGGTGGGCTTATGCCATCCCAGGCCCACCCATGGCTGCGCCCCTGCCCATTCATGTGAAATCCATAGATTAGGGCCTAATGAGTTTATTTCAGTTGACTGTTGCATGTTGCATTTATATTTTTGTTCAGTATATGTAGCTGTAGCTTTATCCCCCCTACGTGAATATGCCATTAGGAAAATGGCCCCAGATGGTCAGATCTGTCACTGCTAGAGCCCGTCTCTGCGTCTCAAATGACACACCCTATTTCCTATAAAGTGCACTACTTTTGATCAGGGCCCACAGGGATCTGGATCTGGTCAAAAGTAGTGCACTATGTAGGGAATAGGGTGCCATTTGGGACGCATCCCATCTATAGCCAGGCACATTTGGGACACAGACCATCTATAGCCAGGCACTGAAAACTCTCCAGCCCAGCAGGACAGAGGAGCATTACTTCATTCTCAGTGTTCAGGCACTGACTACTGGAATCACGACCGTTATCTGTTCTGGTGGAAAATACATTAGTTCTTATTCAAATGTGATAATTGTTTTATGTGACACGTCTTCACATCCCAGAGGATTATTCATATTATTCCGCATTAGAGAATAAAGGCTCAGTCTTTAAGGTAGAAAAATGGTCTCCTTGCCGTTACTGAATATAGAGTGTTTCTCTACCAGCATCTACTTTCTCCAAAATATTCAGTGTTTGTAAAGCGACAACATTGATGAAGTTCCTTGGTTTTTCAGGCAGAGGGGGAGAATGAAGTCAACAACGAGCTGGCCAATCGGATATCTCTGTTCTACGCCGACGCCACGCCCGTGTTGAAGACGTTAAGCGATGGCACGACAAAGTTTGTCTCAGAGGTAAGAGGCCATCGAAAGTGGTTTCACAGCTTCCTTACTTGGCAAACTTGATATCTGACACATTGCCCATCAGTAATTGAAGTGACCAATGCAACAATGTGGTTTACTGTAGTAAAAAACATCCCGTCTCTTTCTGTTGGCCTAGAATAAGAACTTGCCCATCGAGAACACGACAGACTGCTTAAGCACGATGGCGAGCGTGTGCAAAGTCATGTTGGAAACGCCGTAAGTGATCCCATCCACTTCCTCACTAAATCAAGACAATGTCAATGTCTGCAGAAATCGTGGATCTGGTCTCAGAGTAGGAGTGCTGATCTATGATCAGTTTTGCCTTTAAGATCATAAGGAAAATGGTGTAGGGCAGCGATCATCAACTAGACTCAGCCGCGGGCTGATTTTTTTATTGAGCGGATAGTCAGGAGACCGGAACATAATTACAAAGAATTTGTAGACTGCAAATGGGCCGCAAGAAGCCCTAAACAGATATAATATTTAACAAAAATATAATCATTTCAAACCTTGCTTACATTTGTATACGATCACATATCTCTCTATTATGCGTGTAAAGTGATCTATACTGTTCTGGAACATAAAATAACATGATTAACCGGTTCCCATGCTTTTAAAATAACGTCTCTGTTCTGGGACAGTACGGATCACTTTTGTTCCTGGTTGTGAGTCTGTTCCTCAAAATGGTTTGTTCTTTTCGGTTTTCTGTTCTGTTCCCTGAACCGGTTCCAACCCCTGCTTCGAGCTGATTTGCTGATGTTTTTACAATATTTTATGTTAACAAAAAGAAGAAAAAAAATAACTTGGGGGGCCAAATAAAATCCCCCACCAGTTGGGGAACCCTGGTGTAGGGTGTCCACCCACTCTACACAGAGTGGGTGAAAAATGCACTTTGGTGATGAAATGTCACTTCTTTATGTTAGAAAATACATTTTACTTAGATATATGATTCTTCATGTTCTGAATTGTTCAGTGGTGGCTTTCTCTAACATATCATTAACATTATATCTAAAAAGTCGGATTTCATAACCTAATACATCCGATAATAAGCAAAGAGCGTTGAGCAGCAACTTTTTAGTATTTTACATGTTGTGAGCTCAGTGCTCTGTTGACATTTCACAGAGATATGCTTGTTTTTGTGAGAAATCTTCAAAAAAATAACAGGAATTTCGCATTAATATGAAAGCATATACTAAAATATGAAAATACTACAAGTCATGTCTCAAAATCAATATCTATCTTACCTTTATATTGTTTTATGTCCTCAGTTAGCCTTAATTCTCGCACAGCATCCAGTCTAGCTGACATAATGATTTTCCTGATTGTTGGCCCCTTTTTATTTCTGGCCTCCATTGATTTAGTCACCCTAATTTTGGCCATCCTACAAGGGTAAAAACTTAAATATCTTTGAATGGATTATGATCGAGACATGAGGTTTGGACCATTGGTTTTCTTAGAGGAGTATCTATAAAATATTAACATATTATTTTACCCATTGGTCAAAAGAGGCATTTTTGATTGGACACCTTATTATATGGACAGGGGAAACATGATCCTTGATCAGCAATCTCAGTGCCTTTCTATGTTTCCAGGGAGTACCGTAGCCGCTTCACCAGTGAGGAGACGGTCTCGTTCTGCCTGCGTGTCATGGTTGGCGTCATCATCCTGTACGACTATGTGCATCCTGTCGGAGCCTTTTCCAAGTCTTCCAAAATTGATGTGAGTGCAGGGTGGAGCTATGTCATCAAGGCTCCCAGTCCCAGAGGATTGGCCACACACACGCACACACACACACACAAAACTGATTTATCTCAACATGGTGTTTTCTGCTTCACAGATGAAAGGGTGCATCAAGGTCCTCCGAGATCAACCGCCCAACAGTGTAGAAGGTCTTTTAAACGCTCTCAGGTAAGGCCCACCCTGTCTGTAGCTGAACAATGCTTTTCTTTAACAGAGAAGATGTTTTACTGAATACTGTTGCAACTTTTTTCCTCTCACACTTACTTTAACAGACAGTAGCATACTTACTGTGAAATAAAATACAGCCATATTTGGCCACATTTCCTTAATTATTCTTTTTTTTTAACAAGTTAAGAGGGACTAAAATCGATATGTGTTATTTAGTGTTTGTGTTAAATGTGGAATCCCACAGTTTTAGATTATTGAAGATCAGAGAGGATTACATTTCTTTGAGCCCCGGCCCCCTGCTCTCTTCTTAAATCTAAGTGGCTCGCGCTCTCGCAGCTGTTCGCAGCTGACACAGCCATTTTCGTGGCAACCGCGCTCACATCTGCACATCACATCATCAGGTCCTTTGGGCACGCTCAGTCACTCTCTTCCAGTCACGTGAGGTCACTCCTGAGTCAAAGCCTCCAGCCTTCATTTCTCTTTCGTTCCGTCTCTGTGGGGAGAACGCCAGACTGGAAATCAAAGTTCAGAGCTGTGAAACTGTCATCAAGGCTTTCTCACACTCTCTGCGAGAGCAGTCGTGTTACGTTCACAGATCCTGGCACTGATCGCTCTGTCTGGTCTGTCTGTTCATCTGTCCCTCGCAGGTACACAACCAAGCATTTGAATGACGAATCGACCAACAAGACCATCAAGAGCATGCTGCAGTAGGACTGAAACTCTGGTACAACCGCTCGCCTCACGCCCGGTTTCGGGAGACATCGACGCTCTCTCCCCATGATGTCGGTGCACAGAATGTTTTGTTTTATTTTAAATGGAGAAAGAGCTGCACTTTTTATAATGCAAAATGCTACTGCCATTATGCACGTATTTTATGTGCCAAGAAATATGTTGCTGAGATTTAAATGTTTTCGATAAAGGCCATACAACAAGATGGCAGCTGTGAAAGCATTGTAGATTCTCTGTTGTTTTAAAAAAATGCTTTTGTTTTTCCCTGTGTAAGGGATGGGAGTGCTTTGACTTGAACATTTTAAAAAGAGAGATGTATAGAGAAATATATATTATTTTTGTTTCATTTATTATTTAATATTACATCTTCTGCATGACGAAATGATGTATTTCTTCTATTTAAAAAAAGAATGGTTCAAGTTTAATTTGTCTGCTCAGTTGTGTGTTTAATGTTTTGTTCTCTGAATGGTACTTGTCGGAATTAAGATGATTAAAAAGATAGTACTGTTAATGTTTTATATTTTTTATAGGTTTTGAGTGTATGCCATTTTTCATAGTTGTGTTGTATTTTTCATTTGAACATTTCAAACTGTGATGTGTGCAAATCAATTTAAAGTTGGGAGTCTGTACTGTTGTTGACAGTATGTTGCCGCTGGAAAAAATAAACAGAGAACTCCTGTTTTCTACAAATGACTCTGTGCTTACCTGCATCTTTTCTAGAAAACACCATGTAGTCAAACTTAGCTAGAGCAAGAAAAACAATTTCTAGACAATAAAATACACTATATATACAAAAGTATGTGGACACCCCTTCAAATTAGTGGATTTGGCTATTTCAGCCACACCCATTGCTGACAGGTGTATAAATTCAAGCACACAGTGATGCAATCGCCATAGACAAAAATGGCAGTAGAATGGCCTTACTGAAGAGCTCAGTGACTTTAAACGTGGCACTGTCATAGGATGCCACCTTTTCAACAAGTCAGATCGTCAAATTTCTGCCCTGCTAGTGCTGCCCCACTGTAAGTGCTGTTATTGTGAAGTGGAAACGTCTAGGAGCAATAACGGCTCAGCCGCGAAGTGGTAGGCCACACAAGCTCACAGAACGGGACCGCCAAGTGCTGAAAAATCATCTGTCCTCGGTTGCAACACTCACTACCGAGTTTCAAACTGCCTCTGGAAGCAACGTCAGCACAAGAACTGTTCGTCGGGAGCTTCATGAAATGGGTTTCCATGGCCGAGCAGCCGCACACAAGCCTAAGATCACCATGCGCAATGCCAAGTGTCGGAGTAGTGGAAACGCGTTCTCTGGCGTGATGAATCACGCTTCACCATGTGGCAGTCCGATGGACGAATCTGGGTTTGGTGGATGCCAGGAGAACACTACCTGCCCCAATGCATAGTGCCAACTGTAAAGTTTGGTGGAGAAGGAATAACGGTCTGGGGCTGTTTTTCATGGTTCGGGCTAGGCCCCTTAGTTCCAGTGAAGGGAAATCTTAACGCCACAGCATACAATGACATTCTAGACAATTCTGTGCTTCCAACTTTGTGGCAACAGTTTGGGGAAGGCCCTTTCCTGTTTCAGCATGATAATACCCCCGTGTACAAAGCGAGGTCAATACAGAAATGGTTTGTCGAGACCGGTGTGGAAGAACTTGACTGGCCTGCACAGAGCCCTGACCTCAACCCCATCGAACACCTTTGGGATGAATAGGAATGCCGACTGCGAGCCAGGTCTAATCGCCCAACATCAGTGCCCGACCTCACTAATGCTCTTGTGGCTGAATAGAAGCAAGTCCCCGCAGCAATGTTCCAACATCTAGTGGAAAGACTTCCCAGAAGAGTGGAGGCTGTTATAGCAGCAAAGTGGTGATCAACTCCATATTAATGCCCATGATTCTGGAATGAGATGTTCGACGAGCAGGTGTCCACATACTTTTGGTCATGTAGTGTACGTTACGGGATGTTTGACTCACCAAACAGACTTGCTGAAAAGAATAACATTAATTTGTGTATGGAGGTTCCAGTTTAATGGAACTGCAATAAACTGCTAGGGCAACAACAGATCAATCAGTCAAAGCTAAATTATATTATCCCCCACCAGTTAGTCTATCTACACACCACACATGGGAGGCAGGGCCAGAAGAGGTCACCATTTCTTCAGTATAAGGCATGGGTGGGCAACTCTGGTCCTCGGGATCTGCAGCGTTTGGTCATTGCTATTCTTGGTAACTAAGAGTAGGAGTGCTGATTTAGGATCAGTTTTTGCCTTTTAGATCACAATGAATATGATTACATGGACAGGAGGGGACCTGATCCTGGATCAGCAGTCATACTTTGAGACACTTGATGAATAAGACATAGCAAAGGTGTGTGACATTATCACAGCAGGTAAGCGCTTCCAGTTCAGAAAAATATGTGTGGGTGCAAGGTGTAGTTGTCTAAAGAAAGATGCTGCATAAACATTGCTAATGCAGGTTTTATTGAATCTGGCTCCAAGATAAAGGGGTCAATTTTATATATTTGCCATAAATTTGATTTCTTCATGTATTTTTTGAAGGACACAGATGGGAAAACATCAGCGAAGTAGTGATTTGAGGCCAGAACAAATGGTTTAATATCATGTTTGATTCTTGAACGTTAAAATGTTACTTCCCTTTCAACATTGACAGGTTTAATTTTGTGTGCTCTTTTTGCTCTTTGTCAAAATTTGAATTAATGACATAATGTTCTCTACCTATATAGTACAATAAATATGCCAAGTTCATGTTAAGTTCAAAAGAATACAAGATAAAATTGCTGACCATTAAACTTTCAAGCCAATTATCTCAGAATCCTCTTTTTGCAGATAGAACCTTGTAGTCCCAAGCTCTCGACTTCTCTCCTTGAAAATATTAACAGGATATCAAACAAATTCCATGTCCACCTATTCATTCACAGAATGTGTAACCATGTCCCAAGGATCCCAGATAACCATTGTGGTTATTCGCACGTGTATCTGCTCTCACATTGACTAGAATGGTCCCACCTGATCTTACCTCCTCCCGACTGCCTTCCATTTTTTAAGACATTTATTTTCATTATTAGAGTGGCCAATGGAGAGCCTGGTCAAAATAATGGAACATCTGTGGTATACTTCCCTCTCCTTGTAGAGGGCATTCCAGTGACATTGCTCACTTCTTTTTGGATCCTCCCTCTACATTCATTTGTTTCCTCTCATTCTCCCATAAACAATGTGAAGACGCTAACAGTAGAAACACTCTGAAATTCTTCCAAACTGTCTTTTTCTTTTATATGACATTGACAGAGAGAGAGAGAGAGAGTGGGCTAGTCCTTGGGTGGGCACTGCGGTACTATCTGCAGTATGTTAGAGAAACATTCAGGGTCAGAGAGAGAGAGAGAGAGAGAGAGTAGTGATTTGAGGCCATAAACAAACGGTTTCATATCATGTTCGATTCTTCAACGTTAAAATTGGACTTCCCTTTCATGGCACGTAGGTCAACATTTCCATTTCCAATTTAGTGCGCTCTTTTTGTTCTTAATGAAACACTTCGAGAGCTTGGGACTACAAGGTTCTCTCTGCATTTTTGTCAAAATGTAGTTATTGACATAGCCTTGTTCTGTTTAATGTTCTCTACCTATATAGTACTCTAAATACCCCCAATTTATGTTGTTAAGTTCAAAGGAATACAATATAAAAATTGCTGACACCATTCAAACCAATGAGGGTTCGGAACTTTAAAGCCAATTATCTCAGAATCATATTTTTACAGATAGAACCTTGTAGTCCCAAGCTCTCGATTTCTCTCCTTGTAAATATTAACGGGATATCGATCAAGTTCCATGTCCGCCCATTCATTCACAGAATGTGTCACCGTGTTTGACTCATTGGCTTTCCTCTTTTATAGCCCTCTCCTCCTAATGGGTAATTCTAAAAACACTGGGAGAATGATCAGTATACCTCCCTCTCCTTGTAGAGGGCATTCTAGTGACATTGCTCACTTCTTTTGGCATCCTCCCTCTACATTCACTTGTTTCCTCTCATTCTCCCATAAACAATGTGAAGACCCTAACAGTAGAAACACTCTGAAATTCTTCCGAACTGTCTTCTCTTTTATATGACATTGCCAGAGAGAGAGAGAGAGAGTGGGCTAGTCCTTGGGTGGGCACTGCGGTATTATCTGCAGTATGTTAGAGAAACATTCAGGGTCAGAGAGAGAGAGAGAGAGAGCATGTTGATGGGTGTGTCCCTCAGCTCTGCAGCATCACTGCACTTGCAGAGACGGGGAGGGAGGAGAAGTAAGGGGCAAGGAAATGGGAGAAAGAGGGAGGGAGAGAGAGGGAGGGAGAGAGAGGGGGAGCAGGTTGGTGTTGGGTGGGGTCTTACATCCTATGGATGTCCTTGAGGGAAGGAGGAAATCAAAAGGAGACAGAAAGTCTAGGATTTGGGTAGTGAAAATGGAATACAACTGTATCAAAGCACCACAGTTCAGTTCAGATGCAAAATGTATAACGCGCTCGTTGGGCGTGGAACCATCTCCCTTCGAATGGCACTCCGTCACCCTGACAACCTCCCAGCGTGTTGTGGCAACCTTCCTCTTCGCCGGCCCCTCTCCCACTGTGACACACAATGCAGTACCTCTCCGCTCTCCGCTCTTCTCTCATCAGTTATCATGAGGCTCCCATTGGAGCTACAGTAGAAAGGAACACTGTGATATCCGCATGAAAGCTCCCCTTCTCAGTGGGAAAATAGTCTGATCGAGATCTAATGGTCTATTACTGTTGTTTTTTGGTTTGGTTGTGCATCATTCATGACCAATATGCCGCAAATCTTCAACAATTCGACAATAATTGTAATTGACAAGATGTTACATTACAAAATGCTAATTTCTTGTAATTGCGATTATGGTTAGCCTGTACAGTACCATGTAATTCCCTGGTGTTTTTAGGGTACTCTGCTCCCAATTATTGATTCCCCACCT